GTCTCCGCGATTCCCCCGGCTGCCCTACATACCAATATTGCAACTTCGATATAGCTTGTTCATCTTTGAATCCGCGCGACAGCTGCGAAGGTAAACATCTGGCAGTTTCGGGACAAAGTATGTCGACGCCGAGGCCCAGGTCGTCCGATATCGGGCCAATTGCTCGAAAACATCGTCGAAAAAGAGAAAGGAGAATTTGGTGGTGAGATTATACGGGAGACTGACACTCGGGTCGCACTGTTTGTTGACAATGGACACCCTCGTGACGAGGAACTTGTCATTTCGGAGTGATACGTTAGCTGACCTGTTTGTGAGTTCTCAGTTGTCTGTTTATGTCTACTCCCGTTGGTGAACCTACTTAGAACAATTATGGCTTATGGTGGATCCATCAGAAGTCCAGCTAGAATCCTCTGTGAGCAACGTTGTGTCTCTGAGTTCAACGTGCACTCTGCTAATGAACTGATAGCACGTGATCATGGATATTGTGCTATTTCAGCTACCGAACAACTTGTGGTTAGTGATGAACCCGGTATGAAACTCAGAAGACTCATCTTCACAGGACACTATAAAAATTAACGAATTTGAATGTGTATACGATGCTATTTCTACTGATAAATAACTATTCATGGACACTTTTGCCTGTGGGAAGACTACACGAGATTCACGCAAATCATCGTCAATAGACACTATTGGACGCAGCCTGTCAGTATGTCTATATCGCTATCCCTACTGTGCAACATCTGTTGGCGTAATCTGCTCATGTAGAGTCGCAGTTAATAGTGGATCCATCACAAGACTAATGGGATTCATCATCAGCTGATGCTATTCACGAGTTCTGAGGCTACTAGTGTTCCGCTCACGAGCTATTCACGAGTTCCAATGCGTACATATTGTTACCTCTGTTAGCGAACAACTGTTCGGAACAGTTGTGGTCAGTGGCGAGCCCAACACAGAACTAATGGGAACCAAACTGCAGAGATGAAGTAAAACGTTGAGAATAGTTACCGAGACACTCTCCGTCGCAAAATGGCGCGCAGCTCAAGAAGTTCCTTAACTGTTCGTGTTTTGCTCGCGAGTTGTTCGCGAATCCTTGTGTGGATGCGACGCCGTCTCTGCTCATGAAGAGCTCGGTACCTAGGAACCGAACTCCGGAGGTCAGCTTGTCCCGCGTTAGAGTGGAAGGTTGAGTACAGTTACTGGGACACTTTGCTTCAGCGAATGGCGCGTAGTCGAGGAAGTTTCTCGACGCTACGGAAAGAGGTCAACCTTAAACAGTCGACGCCCGATTCGAGCCATCAAGTTCGCGTAACTCTGACTGGATCTCCGACTGCTTCTTAAATATTTATACACCAGTGGCATCCTGGGTCGCTGAAATTTTCAACTTCCTTTCCTTCGTCTCCGGAAAAAGGAATTCGTACGACCAGCTCCGTTAAACTTTCATTTGCCCTAATGATCCTTCCGCAGTTCCTTCGCCACGCCGGAAATCTCTTTTGTAGTCTTTCAGCACGGAACTACGGACGTTCCCCGAGGGATTAGACGTCGGATTCGGTGGGGACTGGTCAACGAAGTAGTCCAAAATTTGTGGGTCATAGGTCAATCTTGGTTGGAGGTCTGCCGGTTCGTCACAACTGGTGCATATGCACTGTAATTCGGGTTGCAGTGAATTTGCTTCGCTAATTGTGACAGAGATCATGTCTTCTGATCTCGGTGAAAGTTAACGAATCTGTAATGAATCTTATGACTAGGGGATATCGCACAGGGTTGTATATAAGGGTTTTGGACATCGTCAGGTGTAGTGCACGCGTATGTCTGGTCTTGAGACCCGACTAAGCTGCTTTTTATGACCGTTTTCCTAGGTATAATTTGTGGAGGATTCCACAGATGTTCTGGGATGTTCTGTATGCACGAGAATGGGAAATATGGTATACAGCTTTAATCCCTCGCGGTTGCTGCGGGATAAACTTGATGAAAAAATTAAGTAATTGCATTGGGGATTTATGAATCGTTTATGGTATTGGTATATAACTTACTACAGAGATTGGCTTAGAGACGTGAAGAGAATTTGTAACGTGAAACGAGGTACTTCAGTTAAATATTGCTGCACAGTCCGGATTGTTACGCTTCTAAGAATATTTCTATATTTTATACATATGGCAAGCATAATGGTATATTCTGGTGCGTAATAAAGATTTCAATATCTTTTTAAATTCAAAGTATATTTTGAAATGAGGACACCTTTTCTAAATATAAAAATTTCACACTCTGTGGACCTAATTAAAAAGATCTGAATATGATGCTAACAAGATACAAAAAATGCAAAAGGTATCAATTTTTAAATATGGGCACCTTTTTAAATGAAATTTTACACTCTCTGGAGATAATTAATAAAAAAAAATAAGAAGATGCGAAATTTCATATGCAAGAACTATTACTAATACGATACAAATATGTAACGAGATGCATGTGACATAAAATTCAACGCAAGAAAATTTTGTCAAAATTATGTAACAGCGAAAACAATTTTCCTACCGTCCAAAATAATCCAACCAGAAGTGAAAAATCTCACAAAGGTTTATGTCGACCACGATAAACGTGTTCCCAAAACAATTTCCAAAATTCAAAAAATTAGCCAAACAGTAATTCAATTCCAGCCAGTTACAAGCCAAGCGAAGAATCAGATTTGCCTGGAAGACTAATGCACTTCCATATCTCGATGATGACAGTGAGCGATGATAACAGACGCGATTCGCCTAACGAAGCCGTACCTCGATGCACCGAGCGTTGGTAATTTCCGGTTTCTTGGAATCCGACGTCGAACGATTGCGACGCGCGGGCCACGAAAATAGTATCCGTCGGAGACGCTTTCAACGGAAGCTCTGCTCCGGAGGCGTCTGAAGCGCTACGAATTCCTGCCTTCGTTTCTAATTACAATTTAAGCCGAGCTTATTCCCGGCCGCGTCCCAAAGTCGCCGTTTCTCAGTGCGGATCGTCCGACCGGAATATTATAGCGCGCTCCAATTTCCTGCGCCCTACGTTAATACGAAGTTAATCCGCTTGAACCTGTTGCCCCGACTTGCTGCCGCCTTTCGAACCCCGATCGTTGTTTTTCACGGCGAAACTCAGCCCGCTGTTCATTCAGTTCGGATGTTCCGTCCGAAATCCCCGAACGACCCTCGATACCGTCTCCAGGAAGCTCGCTAATGGGATACCCGGATGGAACATCCGGCTAGGAAGTTTCTTTGCTCGATGATTTTTGGCCATCGGGCGATTCCGGTTCAGTCGATACACGGAATCGGAAGATCGTGAGCTTTCCGCCACGTTGATTACGTGGAAATCTTTGCAACTTTATTGCCAAGCGTTATACGTACCTCGTGCTACTGTTGTCTCTCGTGTGGATAAGTTACGGTTGCTAGTGGATGTGGGTTAGACACGTGAGTTGTTCGGAGATTCTGCTTGACCTGGTCGATCGATTTTCTCACATTGGAGGAGTACAAATGTTTATATGGGTTGCTTTTGCAGGAGCGATGGATATGCACAATGCTTGGCGTGAACTAGGAGAAGTTGGATTATGATTAAAATTTATTATAAGATCGGATTTTGGGTACACTGACTCAAGATAGTATTGTTGGCTTCTTAATAGAATAAAATAAGAGAGATACGCTATGGGTACGCTTTTCTGATCTTTCTTAAACTGACTCTTATAAAATGTCTTGAACTGAACTGTTAGACTTTGAACATTCTTACATACTCAGGCTGATACACTGACAAGCACACTGACTTGCCTGCGCCTCTGCACCCTTATTTAAACCATTCACTCTGTCCTTTCCTCACACTCACGCTTTCCTTCCCAATCATGCCTCTTTCCCCGCAACCTCGGTGGACCAGGCACATCAAACACATGCCGCACTCATAAACTAACTTCCTATCGTACTGGGCTCTATCATACACATCCATTCGATCCTCTTTGTTCTAAGTTCAAACACTCCCGACACTTTCAAAGCTATACTCATTCCAATTCTACATACATGTCTGTTTGATTCTTTCTTATGAATGATCGCGCAGAGTTCGACCTGCAAGTATTATTAAATTGTGTAGAACCTTCGTGTACTAACACAGTTTTCATCCAACCTAAGGATAATATAGACGTATCATTCAAATTCAAATCTTAAGCCGATTTTCGTTCAGTCTGTGGATGAGATAGTAGTAGCGCCTTTTCACGAATAATGGTATACATTATAAACTGAGGTATTGTAAGTGCTCTGTCTTACCAGGCAATTAAGCGTTGCTCATTAATACAATCGCGACATCTTTTGTTGGATTAAAAGACAATCTGTGTATATTTTTATCGTGTGACGAATCACGCGTGTCGAGAGTTCTGTCTCGCTCTGTCTCCAGCATTGCAAAAAGCAGCTCGTTCGTACTATTGGAAATTCATAGACAGTTCATACGCCGCTGCATTACTCACTCATCCTACATAAGCTATAAATACTCTTGATCACGTTGACCCTTTTCGAGTCTTAACACAGTTTTGTCCAGCCTAAGAATAAAATAGACCTACCAAGACACAGTTTTCACTTGCTACTCCAGAGTACCCGATCCTACGCTACACTCCACGCTCTTGATACCCTACATAATAGAGGGTCTGAGACTCACGAGACTGCCTCTCCAATTTTAAAACGAATGATCGGAACGTAGAATAGGATAGAATATAAGAAAGAGAGAAACGACAATTGTCCGGTTGGAAGAAGGGACTGGAGCTTTCTCCGGTTAGTCTTCCAGGCCTTCTAAGTATTCATCCGACGAGTAATATCCCTGTCGATGCCAGGCCGAGGATAGCAGCAAAGCGGATTGGCAGCGGAAAGGGTGTAGGAGGCGCGTGGAGGGCGAGCAGAAGACGGGTAACAGGGTTGTATCTAGGTGGCGCAGCTGCGAGGGCAGAAAATCGATACTTATCGTCTCCGACGAACGGCAGGCCGACTTTCCAGTACGCCGCTCGTGTGCACGAGGTAAACACGGCTCCCATGGCAATTAGAATGGAATGATACGTGGAGAAGCCTTGACCAGTCCGCTTCTCACCGATCATCATGGTACGTTTGATCAAAACGACGCTGGATGGACCAGTTCGGGACGAAGGACTGACGAGGAAACGGACTGTGACATGGCAGACAACCGACTGGACGTGTTGACAACCGGTGGACGTCGTTCGTAATCGCGTGTATCAGTGACTAACCGATTGGTTTCGCTCGTAAATCATGCGGTCATGTTTATAGTTGACGTTCGCCGATGTTCCTTCACACGATCACGCGCCAAAGTATGGTTCTGTTCTTTTTTCTGTCTTATGTGCAGTACGGTTTTGTGAATTACGCCCTCGAGCTGCTGGTTGTGAAGACCTTTGACAGCGAGACGTGGGAGGCGATAAAGTAGGTAAAACGTGGGCGCACCACGCGCCGACTCGCTCTTGTCTTTTTCTCTATCCTGTGTCTATCTGTGAAACTTCTGTGCCTCGTTGTTGCTTAGGCTGCTTGCATGATACAACGCCGCATCCTCTCTCGTCCTTGCGTAAACAATAACCCTCGTGTTCGTTCCGTTTCACCGACGACCAGCTTGCTAGACCACTATGGCGGATAGGATTGAAAATTGGTAGCGAGAAGACGCTTTGCCAGACCACATGGTATGCTCCCATGCTTGTCCACCTTATTTTGCTCTAGTGTCCCAGTATACACGTACCTATGGAGGGACTCAGTGCATCCGTGACCCGAATCCCTCGCATCCTTTAATTGAAAATTCGCTGCCCACCGAAAGAGATTTTTCTTCTTCCCTTGTCCCTCGAAATAACAGATGGAATTTATATTAAATTTTCCCATGTGATCCTGTAGAAATCATAGAAGTTATTGAATTTCCTATCTCGCCGGACTTTCGCTGAACATTTTCGGCCCTTGTGCAGTCTCGAAATTTTGAATCCGAGTGATTTTGTGTTCCACGAATCTGAAAAATAACCGCGAAGGAATTGTACTTAGTAACATTCTTCATTTTTTTAATTTCATATGGAAATTTCGGATGCATGGTGTGAAGCTTTATACATGGGAATTAGGTGAAGAATTATATTTACAATTTGAAATGTCTATGTGGAAAGTACTTGTTCGCATTTCTTGTATGCTTTCATCGGTAACCTTGCAAACATAGCAGTGCATTTTCAGAACAAAGAAACCCCATTGTAACTTTGTATAAAATGGTGAATTTCTAAACGGAAAGGATTTTTTATATTTTTAATATCGTCATTCGTAGATAAAGAAGAAATTTTTTAGTTTTAATTGAGAATTCCAAGGTAAACAGCATGTACAAATATTTCATCTGACTTATTTGCGTGCATTAGAGGTAACGTAGGTAATTAAGCACCTGCGGGGTTATGTTTACAATAAGTCTTCCAACTACCGGAAAATTTAACCTCTTCGGGGACGAATTTTTTTTAAGTTTAAGTTAACGTTGCAATGATTTCGAAACAGTGATTATAAAGTAGAATAAGCTAGTCATATTCGATGAGGTTCTTTTTTTATTATTGGGGGATTCTATGGTAAATAATTCTTCAAACAATTCCAATTTTCTTTTAACTTATAATAATCAGAATTTGAAAAAAGCTAAACGTACATATTTGTGCCAATACCCCGAAGAGGTTAGATTATCACTCTGTCACCATACTTTAACCCCATTAAAGACACTGGAACCTCAGCCTACCCCCACTCAATCTCCGTTTTCCCCATTCAAATGCACTCGCCTCACCCATTTTTACTCTTCAACTATATCAATCACATCCACAAGCCCCTTTCACACCTGTACTCACATAAACTCCCATCTATTGCCCTTAACCGCTCTATTCACCCTTCAAATGAATTCTACCTATAAAACTATACTCTCATACATTATACCCAAAAGAATTTCCCCTCTCGTAAAAGGAAAGGCATATTATAGCACGCACACACATACATACACGTACACGTACACAAGTAGTAGCTAGTCCGTTTGTCTGCGAAACGAAAGAAGTCGAGCCTTGGTAAATCCCCTTTCCTCGTTCCTCTTATCGAATCAACAAGTTCCCGTAATAAACTTTTGCTTGCCCGATCCTCGGGGTGTATTGATTCAGCGACACAGCTGCGAAATATTGGCACGCGTTTCGCTATTTGCCGAGCGAACCACCAGCGAATCTTTAAATACTCGATCGAACAGCTCGCATAAATATTGCGTTGTTTGCCAATAAAACGGCCCTCGGGGAACCGGCCTATGCACCTTAGTTATTGCGGTGGCGCCGTCTACAACTCAGGCGACGGACAATGGCCGACCTCGCGACTCGTGCCGGAACGTAAAAAGAATCGCGTGGACCAGGGCAAGATAAAGTTTCGTATGCTCACATTCACCAGAATTACTTCCTCTGATCGTATTCTTAGACGAGAAACGGCTCGACTCTCTATGGGCCTTCTTTTCCACTTTCCTCCAAAGAACATCCTTGCGAACTGCCTCGTGAAATTTATAAGCTTGGATAAATAACGAGGAAGGGAAGAATGGTGGCTGCTTAGACAGGTTTATGTGCCGTGAACGTGCCTCGACAAGGCAAGCGAAATTCACAACAGTTCTGGAAATATAACCTCTCGCGTTGCTCAGAGGCAACAATAAGAGCGCGACTTTTGAAAGTCGAATTGGTTTAGTTGTTATTATTGATGCGTACGTGACATGTCGTTTTGTGGAAGAAGAATACTTTCACGCGTTGCTTCTTTCGAAAACACCGTATAGTTGACGATTATAATTTTTATAATCATTTTTATACAGGTTTGTCTATGATTGAATTATTTTAATGCTTCAGATATTTTGATAAAATTTTGCATCATTAGTGAATTGTTTTTGTAGCATTCGCGTTTTGAAAAAATTTATTTATTGGAGGATTGTTTATTGAGATTGGCGGAAATTTTGTGCAGTGACACCTTGCGCTTTTGGTTTCTTTATTTGCTATTCGTTTTGATACAAGAGGTTTTGTTTTATTCAGGAACGGACCTTCTTACTATTTGTTCACAAACATGAATCATTTTTTGCCAATTCCAGACGTATTTCGCTCACTTGTTTACATTGTGTTTTTACTTCAGTTGCAGCTGCAGACTATGAGAAATTGAGACGTATAATTCCTACAAATGACTGCTAAATAGTCATTATTATTTTCTTCAGAAAAACATTAAGTCCTGACCTGTTGCTTAATTCATGCGGAACCTATTTGTCGACTTTCTTTATCCACTTTCTTTGTCCACTTACTTTTCCTATTTAATTGAAGTGATAAATAATAGTAAAGTGGCTTACTTTCATTTGAAACTTTATTTCTCTCGCTGTTTGTCACAAATTATTCCCTGTAATATCTCTAAAAACATTATCGACCATCTTCTTCAATTCTCCTAAATCCACCTATTAACGGGAAACCCTCTGTGGTGAATTCCTTGAATCAACACTGAATCATCTCACGATTATGTAACCACTCTCAAGCGCTAAAATCATATTTCGAATCATTTTAACAATTTTCAAATTTAAATTTATTCAAAATCCATCAACATTTTTATTAAAAATCTTAAACTAATGTTCAGTGTACAAATATTACCACAAATTTCCATCTTTCTTATGCAAAAATGTTATAAGAAGAATGTTGGGTTACTTTTTACTCTCATTAAGAACTAAAAAAATGTTTGAAATTTTCACTTTTTTCAATTACTTTGGCTTAAATGCAGAATAGAGTTACTCAAATAATGTTATTTTATCTGAAGCGATTCATTTTCTAGGAACAAAAGGTTAGAGAACTCATGCCGACCATAAGTATTACCACATAATTCTAGTGTTGCTTCATGGTTTGTGTATTTCTTTGAATAGATGAAGGATTATTACTTGGCCGGTCCACGGTCGGTCTACTATGCGTTTCGCGATTTGCTGAGATTTAATTGAACCAACCAGCAATTTAATGCACGAGAATTTATCGCGGACTCAAGTCAGCCAAGATTATTGGTTGATTATGCAACGGTTGCCTGAAAGTCTAGTTTCCGTGCTTTCATGGGAACGAACGTGTTTATTAGAGAGGCAAGCTGTTGCGAAGATAATTATTATTAGCGGAAATTGGCCTGCAGCTTGTTCGTTAGCATTCATTGCTTTTGTGCATTTTTGTTCGAATTTGATTTAAGATTCATTCCGTTCTGTTAACAATGGTAATGAAGGACGGTTATCGAGAAAACATTTGGTTAAGTGAATTGACTAAATGAAACATATAAATGATATGCTTGATAATTTTGTATAATTTTGGGAATAATTTCCTTGTTATTTAGCATAGATATGTAACATTGAATAGCATTAATATGTTTTAATTGATCCGTATTATAAGTACATAAAAAGTAACATTCGTTATCAGAAAATATAATCTTCTTCTGTTAAAATTATAATTCTTCGATAACGTGAAATCACTGTTATCTGTCTCGCGGAGAAATATTAATTTCGATATTAGAAATATAAACAATATTAAATAATTTGAATGCAGATAATATTAGACGATTCAAAATTTAGTGAACTGAATAAAAAACAATTTTACATAATTTTGTTTTCATTTATATATCAACTTCTCATTTTACAATTTTGTAATTAACAAAAGGTACTCCTGGTACCCACGTGAAATTGTATATGGTAATTTCAAATATATATGAAATTAAATGAAACTCGCGATTGAAGTTTCAAAATCAATTTCTCGCGTGTTACTATTATAAATAGGAATAAAAGAATTTTTCAAATCATCTTTTACTACCGTATACATATACGTGGCAATTGCAGGTATGTGTAAAATTAACGTTAGCATTTTTCTTCTGAATAAAGTAAGTGGTTCACGTTGCGACAAGGTCTCAGGAGGGCAACGTTGTTGGAAATACACGAGCAGGAGGAACGAAAATGTGGGTTACCCCGAGTGTAAGATACGACGATGACTCTTAAAAGCTCCGGGAAAAAGGGTCACTTTAGCCCGTTCTAAATGACGTTTCGTCGTCGCCATGTTTGTAAATTGCGTGATGTAATTTCCAGAGATCTTGCCGGTGCGTTTCAGTCGACGTTGGAAATACGATGAAACTTTTCGCGTACGTTGTGTCCTATTTTCGCAAATTCGCACACAGACGTCGGTGAAATTATCGGCGACGTCAAAGAAAGCATTCGATGAAAGCCGACGAGATGGTTTTGTGGAAAAAAGATACGTGACTTTGAAGGTTATATTCGCAACGTCCCTTTCTGACGTAATTACCATCCTTTTAACCAGGTAGATGTCACTGCCAACAGGGTCTCGAGTAATTTGTGCCAGCTGCGGTTATATACATTTTCCTGTAATTAATGCCATATATTTAACGCGTGTTTCGGGAAAAAGAATTCTTGTTTACTTTGTAGGAAGGAGTTCACGATAAAAGTGTGACGAATAATTCGTATGCAAAGCTTCCGAAATTAAATATATTATTTATTTCAAGAAATATGTACTAAAAAGCCAAAATTATCGCAGTATATGCATTTTATAATACCCGCAAAATACAAATGTTGCAAATATTTATACTTGTGTCAGGAAATATTAAAAATTATATCCAGTTAAATTTTTACACTTAAACCGAGGTTTCCATTATTACAGAAATTTTTCATATAAAAATTTATATTTTAATTTTTCTATAATTGAAGAAAGGTTGTTATAATTATTATGATTTGTTTCATCTCATTTTACAAAATTCTCGAAAAATGTAGCTTCCATAAATTGGGAAACTAGATAGCTGCTGTGTATCCATAGTTTACAATCGGCGATGTGAAACTATTTTAATAAATAGGAACGTCGATATTATTTTTGCGGTTCATTTAAGATGTATCACGGCTTTTGTCGATCGCTGAGAGGGCCGGAAAGTTATGCGAAAATGCTGCGGCGAGCTTGGAGTGACAGCTCATATCCATGTCAAACGATGAAGTGCCTTTAGACTGCACTTTGTAAATTTAATGGAAACCACCACGAGCGTCTGGTAACTTGTTAAAATGCGCGGCTTTTAGCTGCTAAGAAGTATTTACTTTGTTCGACGCGCGAAACTAATTAATTTCCTGTTGTATCCCATCGAAGCGTTACAATGGGAGGGGGAGAAAAAGGAGGAGAAAAAGTGAACAAGTCTTTGGCAAATTATACAACAGACAGTTTCAATTTTCACAGATTTCACTTGGCCGATAGAGAAACAAAGCTCGGCCTCGTTAGCCGGTCTCTCGAAACTTTAATAAAATCGATGCTCACTTCCTGTTATCGCATTTGCCAACCATCAACCGGCAAATTAATACTTTATCGCGTAAAATAAGTATTTTATGCCGAAATTTTTAACGTCCAGAGGAAAGTATCCGGCCGCGAAACTCATAGCGAGAGAACTATTTTATACCTTTTGCTCCTACTGTACCTATAGTCGGTTACAGAAATGATCGAATATTTAATGCTTTTTATTTAAATAAATATTCAATGGTAGCGAAATATTTATTCAATTGTGCTGAAATACATCGTATAATTATATACGATAATGTAGAACTTAGTGAATATGTTGTGGGAGAGCAGAGCAAAGGACTAAGTTATATGTCCCCGAATATTTTTGTGAGCGACTGTATGTAACCATTTATCGTAATAGAAGATGGAAACTGTAATGATATTTTTAGAAGAAGTGATATTGTGCATGAATGCTTAAAAAGTTGTTTTATTCGGGATTAGCTTGGATGAAGCTTAACGTTTGTTTATATTGTGTTCCTACAGGAAAGATGCCGCGGTTAATATGGAAGGACAGTTTCTGGTTCGGCAGATATACGATGATGAAATTACGTATAACATCATATCGGCAGCTGTCAATCGACTCAGTACGTATATTTATTTTTCTACGTGTGTTCTCTTGTTCCATTAAACTTTATTTACCTAGAGCTCTATTTATATATTTTCAATAGACTGTATAACATATGTTATATAATTATTATTATAATTTTACGTAATATATATTATACGTTAACTTTACATAATATAATATAGATATATAGCATATGTCGGTGACTATGAAAGTGGTCTAATTTTAAATTATATTCGTATATTCTTCTTCCAAATATTGAAAATATTTCATCTGGGATAATTAAAGAAATTATTTTTGCACTAATATAGATTCAATAAAATGCTTGTGTTTTTCACTGCTTTGGAAAAGTAGTTCTGCATTATTGTAAAATGAGTAAATATGAAAAGAAATGAGTAAAAAGTTCATTTCTATTAGATTTTTATCTTGGAGCACTTTCATAATTCTCGGAATATTTGTATTTATTATTATGGTGATTATTTTTCATCATCGTCAATATTTATTATTATTACTATGTATTAAAAGATATTAGATATGGGTTTGCTTTCAATAAAGCTCAAATTTCGAAGTTGAAGTTTGGATTACGTGAAGGAAATTGGAAAGCCCTGTATAATAATAATTTCTGGTTTAATACTGAATTTTTTTCAGAAATCTCTTTAGCGCTTAATCCTATTAAGATTCTTGACCCGTATCCAAACAATTGCTTTTATCTCCCGTTTTCAATGTTCTCATCTCCTCCGCTAAATTTCCTACGATATTCTCTTCCAGACTTCCTTGTATTTTATTATTGGTAGACAAACATTTTATGAGGTTTAACTTCGCCAAGATATTTCGGTGGATAATTACTTATATTCCTAACAATCTATTCCATAGTATTAAAATTAATAAATGAAACAAAAATTCAAGGTAGAGTATTTCCTCGGAATCATTTAACGATCAAAAATATTTTTCTCTCACACAATAATTGTTCCAATGATAAAAATTTTTCTTTCACTAAACACAAGTCATAGACGTCATCTTGAATTCAGTCTAATCCAAGGAAACTGTGAATTTTTTCAGTTTTCCTGAAAGAAAAGACACGAAATTGTAGCAATAACAAAATTGTCAATAGCAATAGCATTACATCCCCGATACTGGACCACAAATCTTCGACTAAAAACGATAAAAGGAACCAATCCAATCCCGTAGAACCTTCGTCCCAATAATCTCGCCAGACGAGCAATTTGTCGCGAGGCATCGAAGTCGCAGTTAATCTCTCTCTGTGCGAGAAAATCGTGATCCCTGAACGGATATAGCGCTCACATTCGCGCCTCGATGTTTCACGAAAATTGTAATTTCCCGATCGACGCCGACGCGATGTCGGCGACAGCCGTTTAGCGCATCGTACGTTAAACTTGAAAATCGAATTCCATTGGAGCATGCGCCAGGAATATCACCGTGAAAATCTTTCCAGACATCCCAGCGAACGAGATCCTTGAGCTGTTCGGCCGGATGTTCTTCGAGTTCTGCCAGGACTCCGGCTACGACAAGATCCTGCAAGTGCTCGGGGCGACGCCTAGGGACTTCTTGCAGGTAACTCGCCGCGCCATTACGCGGCCATTCACTTTTCTGCGGAACGGGATTGGTCCCGGTAGATCGCGTCCGGGATTCCCCCGGTTCAATGCGGATCGCGGTGAAAGTTCTCCTAAAAGATGACACGTAGGTTGATCGTCGTTTGTCGTCCGTGGCGTTGTCATGCGTGCCGTCAGCTATGGATGTTACGTAATGTTATTGGATCGAGTAAAGAATTGGATACGAATGTTGGCAAAGTGAAATTTGCCATCTGTTCGTATTGTATATAAGATGTATTTTATTTTTAGAAATTTTAACAGGTTGAGTACGAGAATGAAATTAATTTTATTACATATCGTGTATAGCGAAGAGAAGGAATTTCTTGTACGATTTATAATAATGGCAGAGCAATTAAACATAATTTTAGTTGCTTGCCCAGTTTATCTTAAGAGCTCGTCGTGAGTGCTAGACATTATGAAAATTATAGTACAGGTGATTATTTATATAAATTAATGCAATTGAGATATCACGTATATTAGGATTATTACACACTGCATATTCGCATAATTCCACATTGGTTCTATGGTTTCTCTATCAATTTCGGTCTCGCTTACTTCCAAAATTTGAACAGGCAGGATTGAACGAGAGGATTTAATTGATTTTACTAGAGACTGAGTATAGCAGAGAGGAGGAATTTGTTGAATGCGTGATAACTTATAATACAAATTTTGCACACAACAGAACAATTAATTATAAATCAAGCTTAATTTAAATACAATTCTAGTTACTCATCAAGTGTATCTTTGAAGCTACGAGAGCTAGGCATTATAGAAATTATAGTACAGATGATTAATATAAATGAATACATATAACGTATCATCTATACTACCATTATTACATGCTGCATATTCGCATGATTCCATATCGTATCTTGGATTTCTCGATTAATTACAGTCTCGTATATTTCCAATATCCAATCCGACTGTTCACAGCTAACTCAAGACACCGTCGACTCTTCTCGTTTAGTTTTACCCTCGTTATTCGACGTTCGTTCGCGTACGTCAACGCCGGCCTATCGAAGAATTTGCATCCGTGTATCAGACACGTACCATTCGCGATGTATGGGCTCGGTTCCGAACCCGACGCACGATTCGTTCCTGGAAAATGCGTCGTAGCAGTCCCAGCGATTGCAGCAACCCATGGCTGAATGGCCAGACAAAAAGCGCGTAAACCCGTTTGTGTGGTCGGAATACGAACGCGAATTATTGCGAGGCTCGGTGATGGAAAACGTTTTTGTCTCGCCTAGCCGATGAATTATCGCAATTTCTTCGTAGCGTCTCGACGGCTGAATGATTGGCTTGTTTTTCATCGTACCTGCTGGTATCCAGTGAGGTTAAATATATGGAACAAGGCGATAATGACAGCGGCACCGTGAATGGGTATGGCTCCTCGAATCGAAACCAAGTGAAAAATAATGGAAACCCAATTGCGTCCTTTTTGCATGGAAGGTTCTGTTTCTCCTTTTCTCTCCTTGGACGATCACATCATGGAAACCATGGGGCATAAACTACTTAGAGGATCGGATCTAGGTTATTCCATAAATTAACTTTCTCAGTGGGCCTTTGTCGATGCTCGGGTGCAAGAAAACGCGAGAGTGGTTGCGCTTTTCGAATTTAGTTATTCAGAACGCGCTGTTCTAACGTTTGGATTGATTATGGATTCATGAATTCTGGTTAATATCTCCGCCGTGTTTAGTCATTCACGTCCAAGCTGGCATACCTCTGGCATGATAAACGCGCGCTTTTGCTTTCATATAATTATGAAAGACACACATTACGCGGCTGGGAAAGGCATAATGCGGTATCATTCTGGAACTGACGTATTCTGAAATGAAATCTTGCTGGAAGGCAACTCTGCGATTGTAATATTACCGTTATCTACGTTATTGTGTGTTTATGTGGTTATATTAAATAATTAAACGTTGTTTTCCCCGTAATTTATTAATTTAAAATTCCGAAGTAATAGATGCTGAATGCACATTAATCATCGATGGTCCGCACTGAACTCGCCATATAGTTCATTTTAATAAACATATCGCATATTGTACATCGTTTCTCCTTATTATTATTAATTATTCTTATCAGTATTACATAAATTGATTATTACTAATTATATCTGCAGGCTGAAAATATGGTGCATCGTATCTTACAAACACTTGTAATGTGTACAGTGATATAGTCTACCCGTGCTGCAGTAGTAGCTCACGTGACTCATTCGGAAAGTTACGTATAGATGGCGTAGCAGACAACGTGTCGATATTTCAAATATTTGTGTATAACGCGAAATTTACGTCATGGTCATATTTGAACATATTCTGACACCGGTTATATGATACAATAAAGAAAATATGCAGTTGCATGCAATATATATCCGTGACCTTAACAATTCCATAAAAAAAATATTAGGTTACCGAAAAGTGTCAGTTTATTTAGTCCAATATTATACTGATTTTCTTTAAAATGAAGAACAGTTTTAGTAAATTTTGCTTTGTTACTTTTCGTTATCTCAAAGACAGTTGTACAATTCCAATTAACGCATCCCTATATCCAGCAGGTTAAGAACACTACTTTTCACTGGAGAACAAAGCAGTGCCATCTACTATCCAATTACGATATTAAAGGTTTCTTTATACCATACAAACGGTATATAAAATATTTTTCCCATCATTACAATTGCAAGAGATATTCAGGTGCATAGTAGCACGATTAATCGATTAAGTAACTCGAATCAAGTTTTAATTCAACAGAAGCCGATCCCTTCGCAGTTCCATTGCTGCCCACTGTCGCCTTTTGCTTCACATAACCTCACTTGCATCGTGACCGGCAAAAGACTTGGTTCAAGATGGACGATTAGCAAGCGGAATGTCACCGTGTAGCGAGATTATTATCGCGTCGTTTTTCTCTCGCGATGTTTTATTTCCGGTTCTCTCGGCAGTTCCAGTGTCACGTACAACTTGGAAATTTCGTTTCTTATATATCGTTCTAGTCGCTCGTGTCTCGGTAGATCGGCGTCGGTACGATGCACGGAGGAATGAAATTAATGGAAGAAATCGTCTAACGAATAATGGGTAACGAACGTAGCCAGTGGAAATCGCATGGATCGATCGGGATGGCTAGTTGAAACGCAAAGTGGAAATCGAAAAGAAATTAGGGGCACGGGAAGTATGTTTTACTTGGGGACGTGGTGCGCGGTAATGGCGAGAGTGCCGATAGATTGACAGGGGGCCATGTATCGTTTAATTACAGAACTTGGACGCCCTTCACGATCATTTAGGCACTTTGTACCCAGGAATGAGGGCGCCCTCTTTCCGTTGCACCGAGAGGCCCGAGGATGGAGCACTCATATTACATTATTACTCCGATCGACCTGGTTTGGAACACATTGTGATTGGCATCGTTAAGGTATTTATCTTCAGACAATGATGTAGGATTGATAGAATGATAATTGGGGATCCAAATTCTTGGGGAATTTTTAGAAATGTAATGTCCTTACATGTTTTAAGTTTGAGATCTCGAAATTATTGTATAGTGTTGGTAGTATTCTTGTAGCATTTTCTTTTATTTTTTTTATTGAGCATTTGAAATCTCGCAATTAATGCTATTCTAATATCGTCATCGGGAGATGAAAACGAATTTCGCTAGAAATTTTAGGAAACGTGATGCACCAGCTTGAAGTACAGCCCAGCTTTATAAAGGAATTTGTCAGTGGCCTCCATAATGCAAGGATGCAGGCTCGTGCTCTAATTATTTCAACTCAGTTTGCTTTTGTGACATTCCGAATTTTCAACCTCACGTATTTTCGCGAGGACGAGCGAGTTTGTTCCGCCAGTTGTAAAACTAACTATAGTAATATCGATTGTTAAACTTCACCAGGAAGACTGTGTGTCGAAATTAGAAAACTCGAGTGGTAGAACTCCGAGAGGAACAAAGTATCAACTTTCTTTACGAATATATAGAATACACGCCACAGCCATAATACAGTTTGCTATCTGTAATGAAAAACAAGGTGCTAACTTTCATACCGGTATTATGCAATCTGTTTGCACATTTTTATCAGTCCGAGTTAAACGAGGCTATAAGTCTATCGCAACTTACTATTTAATTTTCAATCTAAGTAATTCGTTCACGCTGAAACGTACCATGATTAAACGAGTTATAACTTTTATCGGACGTAGACCGTGGCGAAAAAGCTTCACGGCACGGATATAGAGATGCGAATATTGAAGACGAAAAACGAATGTGATCACGTGCAATTTTTGATCACAAACACATCTGGTCCTGGGGTCGTTTCCAATCCCATGATCACTGAACTGGAGACCTTATCTGTGGGTGAGTGATATTCTATAAGCATTCATGATATACATAAACAGAAGGAAAAGAAAAAAGGTTGAAGATATTTCATTTATTTTCTTTCTCCATTTCTCCAAAATTTGCTATTAATATATTATCTGCTTTTTCTTACTATCTATTACAAACCTACAACTATTAACAAATTATTTACTGTCTACTACATTATTTTATATTAATAATAAACTCCACAAGATGCCTAAGTATTCTATTGTCTATTACTATTGACAAATTATCTACTATCACAACTATTTACTATATCTAATTTTTATTAAATTTCTAGTATTTTCTACTGCTTATTACATACTGCTATTATCAAATTCTTTGTTATACACTGTTAGACATCTTGTTTCGCAGATTTCCATTCAAGCCTTGTCAACGTCTCCTACTACATGCTAGGGATAAATGACTAGAATGTCATGCTAATGAAGGTTCATAAACGGCTTATTAAAATGTTGTAATAAAAATATGATATGCTAGGGACAAGTTAATAATCCTCCTCTCGGTTTTGTTCAGGATAATATCCACGACAGATGAAAAACTAGTATAACGAACGTTACTCCCAAAGAGGGATTAGGAAGAGGGTAGCCTGTTGGCTTTCTAGGTCACCTGGTCTGGCACTTATGGATTTTTATTTTTGACAAACTCGAAGGGAAAGAATGTGACGAGGTAGAACAAAATGGCGAGGAGCTTTGCTGATATTACATAGACGTCAGATTTTTATCGATGAAAGCGCGCGACACTGGCTGCTGCAGCGTTCCCATCGGGTTTCATATTTCTCTCGCAACTATTTTTATAAAACGTTTATGAACTTTTTCACCGTCAACCCTTTCGACTTTCCTATTTTAGTTTTCGTTCTAGCTTCAGGCTACATTGGTAATGCTTGAACTTGAAGCCTATGGAATACGTTGTACGGCCTTTGTAGTTTATCTTTTCAAAAATAACGCAATTCCAAAAATATAATTAACTGGAAGATAGAATGAAAATTCATTTTGCTTAAACATATTTGCAATTAACCTTTCATAACACTATATAATGTAATCTTTCCATTCAATTTTGGTCTGTTTACCTGTCACTGGTCCACTGTATTTTTTAATATACTATGGTATTGATTACTATATTTTCAATCAAAATAACAAGATTATGATTATGATCGGAATATTCTAATTTTGTAAATACACGTTCATTGTTATCTTAACACTAGAGCTACTAATCCAGTCGAAATAACTGGTCTCAGAATTTTCCTTTTAGCAATCACTAAGCACATATGCCTGCTTTTCAAAAATTAATTTTGGCTCATATCGAAATAAGACTGCAATTAATGCATTTACTTATCTTCATCGTACCACTAAAATTACTATTATCCATACCTACGTAATTCTAGTATTAAAGAAGTGACATAGCAGAGATAGATTTTTTAAACAGCGTTATGAAATGTGCTGCAGAACCAAAAGTCAGTCCCATGACGTTCTGCCGGGTATTTCCATTCCACTTGATGTTCAACCGGGACCTCACCATAGTTCAAACTGGATGCACCATAACGCGGGTAATACCACAAGTGAGCTCTGGGAATTGCAAGTTGAATGACATCCTCCTTACTGTAAGTTTCTACAATTATAGCTTACAAAAAGAACATGGATAAAATGTCACGAACATCGCACTCCCACAATGTCAATTAATGCTTTGCGAATCTTGTACGAAGGGAGTTCAAATATCTATAGCGTTCGTCATCATCCAGTGAGATAACATCTACAAACACAAACAGCATCATGGATATCAAGCTCATTATGACAATCTGTTTGAGCGAGAATATATAAATATTTGAGCATCGATGAAGGGTGTGTTCAACCCCTATTAGGCGTTATACTTGACGTACAACAACAGTGATATTTACCATTGCCATATCGATTCTGTTCACTTCTAATTAGGTTTGCTAAATGTGTTAGAAAGTGAAGTAACAGTACTTCATTATATATACATATATATTTTATATGTCCTGCATAATCATGTGATCCCAAGTGTAGTATTTTGTGTAAAAGAATTGGGTCACTTTGAAAATTTGAAATTTATATAAATTTATCGTACAAAGTAGTAAATAGCGAATAATTTTAATATTTTGAATTTCACGCGACGCCACTGCAGGGGTATTAATAGTGTGTAGAATTTATTTGTTCTTCTCTCGAACGATTATTAATTTTTACATAATATTAATATTAATAATAAAATAATATATTAATAAATATTACAAATGTTCTGCTTCCCGTAATCGTGGAAGTACAAACAAATACTTTTACCATGAGTCACTTTCTTCGAGTGGCATTCACTCCTAATATTTTATGCGTCTGATCCCCTATAAAGTATTCAAGTTTTATCTGTCAAGCAAAATAAATTTGCGCGAACTTCGCTCGAGAATTGCAGCTTCTCTCCTACAAATAAAAGCTCGCGAAGCAAGAGAGATATTACTGATTCTGCATTTGATCAATATCCATTTCTTTTATCTGTAGTAATAAATCTGAAAGATATCTGAAAGAAATCTGACGTAATAAAGGGGTCGTGTCTTAGGTTATCAGATCACCTAGGAAAGTCCTCTCACATTCTTTTATTTACTCTATGCGGTACTATAACGATAACAGATAACGGAATCAATTCACAATGTAATATTCATTGTTACTCCAAGCAGTTACGTTGAACGAATTTTAATCGGTTCATAAACTATGACGAATATATCTTCCATCTTTTGTGTCGAAAGGTACATAAAAATTGTATTTATAATTTTTGTACAACTTTTACCTAATTTGCTTTTAGTGGCTAAGAAATTGATTGTTTTCACCAGATTATATTTTTCACTGACCTGTCGAGATTGCAAACAAACGAACGGAATCTACACGTGTACGTAGGTAGAACATTGAAAACATTCTTCAATTAAAAATGACTCAAAATATAAACTTTTATACACACCGTGAACAGAGTACAAAGTTTTTCGTGGAATACGTTCGCAGTAATATTTTAATTATTTCGACTTTCGCGGAAAGTATGTAAAGAAAATTTGGCCCGTTTCACAAGAAAGAAATTTTAATTATTATGAAGTAACAAAGAAACTTTGGAAACTTCCTTCGCATTTTTAGCTATAAGAAATATTCCAGAGTTTTTCAACGGAAACTTTGCCAGCTTGTCCTACGAGCAAAAATAATACTAAAATGCGATGTAACAAAAAGTCGGTAAACGTTTTATTAAAAAGTTACTATAAAAATACAAAACGAGAGGTAGCACTGTGCCTATGTTTACGCTGCAACACGGCGGCCATATTTATCGATGCGCACCATCCAATTTGTCTGCGACAAATTTTCTCAAACTCTTTCACACATTCTGCATCTAATTGGCAAATAATTTCAATACTAAATCAAAAATATATGAATGCATGACAACATATATCAGATAACCAAACAAATAGTTTTCGTCATTTTCGCCCGTTTATTCAAGAAGCGACATTATATATTTCCTTACGTTATATAACTACGATTAAAGTATCCAGTAATAATAGTGGTACTACTATTACTAATGTTATATAATTTATCAATAATACCAAAAAATTTTATTAATATTAACCCCTCAATAATGGCACCTTTTCGTCACTTCTACATATAAAACACCTAATTTGAACGCTATAAAAAATTCTATTGTCATAGTACAACTGTAAATAATCTTGTGCACACAATAATTACTCAATTTTCCTCTAGGTTATCTACGTATTAAATACTCAATAGCAGCGAATATAATGAAATAAACTACTTTAATCGGAATTTGGCTGCGAACGCCGCGTTTTATTTGGCAACACCGCATTAGTCGATGGGGACCGCGAAATTGCGTTATTGTGCGCCGCTTGCTGGCCAGCGACGATATAATTCGTGTGGATTCATGCACGAGTAATCGTATATCTTTCAAATGCGGTTCGTTCCGAGCAGACATGACACGCGCCGTCGCAACGGTACCGTTTAACTTCATTTGCATCCGCGCTCGCGCCCACGCCCTCCGTGATCAATTATCCGTTCATTGCTAGTCCCCGATCGTCGCTGATCGGCCATGACGATACCTTGAGAAATCGAAGCGGGATTCCGTTGCACGTGCATAGATTCGTATGCATGATAGAGCGTACGGGATCCTAGCCGCTGATCCAGATACATGTTTACATACACGCTGCCATTAACGCGGTCATACTTCTCGAAAATTAACGCGTCTACTGTTCATCAAGCTTATGCTATCGGTGATGAATAATCTTTCGTACAAAAAGTATCGGATTATGTAATTTAGAACAAATTTCATTTTCAATTCTCGAAAGCAGTGTTGCTTTTGAAATGGATAAACGATTCCTCGAAAAATATTTCGACATTTTTGTAAATTTCTATTATAGTTTTTACCGCATTTGTTACATTTGCTTTTGATGAGAGATAAAATTAACTCTTTGCTGTTGGATTACGTTTCTGGTATGTCAGCGTTTCCTGATGCCAAAGGGTGCAGTGATACGTCAGAGACGCCATCTGGTGCCAATAAATCACAGCTCGCTGATCTAAATCTTAAAATACGCTTTGAAATATTTTTCTCGATAAAACACGCAACGGTGGTTTCATTAATTGTTATGTCAATAAACAATACAGTTAAAAATATTTCACGGGTCTTTGATATTAATAAATAAATTCGTAATTTCATTGTCCTAGGTGAGACCACACTTAGAACTGACGTTCGAGAACATACTGTCACACATAAACACGGTTTACGTATTGCGAACGAAGAAGGGAGTGATGCGAGTCGATGCTTCGGAAGAGTACTCGTATTTGCGTTTGAAAGTCAGTATATAATTTTCATAACAGCGCTATACGAATTAATTCTAAATTAGTTAAATTGCATTTTGCACACGTATGTATGTTTCTCTTTTATTGAATTCCATTTTATGAACAATATGACAAATTATAGTTAGATATATCTTTGATAACAGGAACCAATTCTATAACAGCAACCATTTTGTCTTACCACTTGTAAAACTATTACTTTTCCAGGGGCAAATGTTGTACATACCCGAGTCAGACCTCGTCACCTTCCTTTGCTATCCCAGCGTCATGAACTTGGATGACCTAACCAGGTAAGAATTCACTTGAAGTTATGCTGTTTAACGTGCCAGATGAAGCATGCAAAGTGTGACAAGTAAACACGTTTCGCGAAGATTAAAAATACCATAACGTGACGCAAGAGCAAGTTTCCGATTACATGTACACATTCAAGAATCCATTCATTCGAATTTAAATCGATTCGGTGAATACAATGACAAGATACGTTCCAAAATGTCCGCCATGGGAAAATATACATACGTATGATTCAACGGTTTGCACGAAATCACAACAATCTCGTGCCACTCACATCAATTCCAACCGAATCACTCCATCTCGAAGTCAAATTACGCTTCAGGGTTCACAGAGAATTAAAATATGAGCCACAATTAATAGACGCGTTACACGAGGTCGGCTTGTCGAACGATCAGAGGTTAATCTAAATTCAATCGAACCCTAACCTCAAACGCACGAGAAACCAGTATGCGGGACTCGATTTCACGCGTTTAACGCATCAAAGTCGCGTCGATTAACGAGACTCGTTTCTCCCAGTCGCGTTAGGGCGACCTCGATTTATTAGAAATCGAAGAGGCACGATCGTTCGCATTCCACGATTCCATTAAACAGCCGGTAATTTGAAAATTCGCTGTCTCGAGCGCTGCGGTAATCATATTGCGTAGATTGATATCGCTATTCGCAGAGCTACGTTGAGCCGTGCCGCGTCGCAATTATCGAATAGTTCCTAAATTGAATTTCAATTAAGCCAAACAACGCGGCCGCGAGTCCGTGATCGATAACGAACGCATTCGTTGCGTTTCGCGACGAATGTCTCCTAACCTCCAATGCAGACGCGTCGTCCATGTGCGTCGTGTGACTAGCAGTGGGACCAATGGCCACGAAATGTGTAGTGTTGAGAACATTGTGCGTTATTCACGGACGAATCTATGATTAGTTCAAAGGCTATGGCTCGTAGAGTCAATCAGCCTTGAAAGTATAAGTGTCTTCACTTTCAAAAATAATTTGAAAAATTGAATGGGCACAAATCAATCGAATATTAACCAGTGCAATATGTTGCTAATTTGAAATTTTTAAATGTAATTTTGGAACATTAATTAAGATGCATTAACTAAGTAGAAATTTAAAAAATTCTTTTATCAAGCTATCAGTAACTTTCGATAATTGAGGGTAATTACCTTTGATAATTATTAATAAAGGTAATTACTGTTTATGATGTTTTATTTCACTAATTGGGAACGAAATGCTGAAATTACATTAAATTGGAAACATAAATATTAATATCATAAATAAGCAATACGTTATTACACGTATCAGTATTACAATCGTGATAAATTTCAAATGTTCCATTATTACCCAGTATTCATTAAAAATTCTATTCGAGAGAAATTAAATGGAGTTTATTGTAAATTCGTAACAATAAACATTTTGTAAATGCATTTCATCAGACTGATGTATAATTGTTTTCATCAAAATTTAATTGGATAATGGGTCGAATGTAGAAGCAAATAATTGGATTTTAATGGCATTTTAACTGATACATTAGAGTATTTATATTAAAAAGTAATCGAACTTTATTCTCTTATTTTCAACTAAACGAACGAAATTCTTCTATCCCGTTACAAAGAGAAAAAGTGTAAAGAACCTTGAAATATCTTCACCCTCACCCACTCAGTGTTCTTGATACCCTAACGTCCCCTTCGAGCTTCACTAATCCTCATATATTTCAGTTTTTCATTCTTTCTTATACTTACAGATAAAAACGAATAAACCTTCATATCCAGTGATATAGGTACAAAGCAAGAATAGCAGAATGAAATAATTTTCTTTCAAAATTCATAGCTCGCGGAGAAAGCTCGCAGAGAAAGCTCGCGATGAACCGAGTTTAGCACGAAAATAATATTCGAGTACAAAGTATAAAGCGTTGCAAGTTCTATTATATTATATAATCTTGTATCCTATATATATTTACAAGCGTACATTTTTGCTATTATTTAAAATTTTAAAATATCCTTTTAAATACAAGGAAAAATGTTCTCCTGAATATAAAGTCGAAAAATTTGTTTACGTAAGGGAATATTTAATTTCACAAAATACATACTCTTGTTTATTTTCATTTATTTACAGCCAAGCTTTAGCATATCTGGTATAACCCAAAAATACCTTAACGTCATGAAAGAACCATGTACACCGTTGGCAGTAGATACAGGATCGAACCTCAAGAATGACTCGTCGTTTCTATCGCAACCCACTCGTCGAGAAATACGAGTACACGGCTGCACTCGTATACCCTGTAAGAATAAGAACAATGGTAGTATCTCCTTTCAAGTACCGAGAAATCCATATATAAAACGCAACCTATCGGATCTTGCAGTCATCGAAGAAGCGACGTCGGTATGTGGGTCGTTAACGTAAATGAACGCAACGTGTTCGATAACCAACTATTAGACTCTCCATATTAACTAATCGTACCGTACTCCTCTCTGTCTCAACATAGAAAATATTTGTCCCCGATGAAGTAACGGGTATACCGGCCACTCGACAGATATCGAAGCGATGGTTCGCATAATTACAGTCTTTTCAGCGTCTGCCAGTGTTCCAGCAGGGACATAAATTCCTGTCACGCCGCCACCGAATTGCCCTCGTTCGAATAATCTGCACCCTTGTTATTCCTCTCATTTTCTATCTCCCTCCGTCTCCTCTATCCCTCGTGTCTCCCTTTCCGTCGCTCTGTGCTTCCCATTTCCTCCATTTTACGCTCCAGCGGCCGCCAGAATGCACGAAACACGGCATCTGCCATTGTTCTCTCATGCATTCTGACCTCGATCTTCTCGGATCCATTTATTTGACCGAGTTTTCTGCGGAATCGAACGTCTAGCGGCGAATATTCGGTCGCGCCGGCCGCCATCTTGGTGGACCCCGCACGAAACGCGCGCGCTGCTGTTCTCATGGCCGACGATAAACGTCCAGATAGTTCCCGGCGTAGTTGCTCTCGACTGAGAGATTTCAGCTGAGCAGAAGCGTCAAGGCAGCCAGTAGATAAATTTAAAACTTAATCGAGTTGTTCCCTATTACTCCGGCTGTTTACCGTCGCTAACTTCCTTTTGTAACTGCAAGTTGAGACGCGATCGCTTCTGGAGCATTAAATTAAGCAAGAATTACGCCCGCTGGATGGATTACCGTGGCCGTTGGTATGGGAGAAATTATGACTCGCGGAATAAATTTTGTTCGACAAAACAGAAACCCAAACGAGATTCTTCGATTGTAGCAGGGGTGCACAATGAGGTTCAGGTTTTAACGAACCTCGCCGGTACGATACTTGCACCTTGTGGTCTTTATACCGTAGACAGACGATGGATGAATTATACATCGGAGATGATCGAATGCTGAATCTGAAAGGAGAGCCATTACGAGTGTCAGGGATAGATTGCGACGGAATCGAGAACACGGTTTGCCACGGAACGAAGTCGTAAACCTCGGTTATCACGATGAAACGATATATATATTTTTTAATAACCATTCAATTGATTTTAGGTGTGGATTTTATTTTGTTTTTGGATACCGTGGAAGTTCGAGAAAATTGAGATCCCTTGCTGACCTCGATGATGTAAAATTGATCTCACAGTATATTTGGAATACATTTCGATATCGTTCTCTTGGAAAATTGTAACTTATTCTGGCTTCGAAATTGAGTTTTATTTTACAATAGTTAGAGTTTGTTTCTGCATTTTATATTTTTTAATTAACATTTACCATCCTGTGAAGATGATTCAAGTAAGGTTATTTTCATTGCAGACAAAATTATTCTATTTATTCAGTTACAATTAGATTATAATTAGTTCCCGTCTAAGTCCCTTAATTAATCGAAATAGTCGAGTGTTGTAGATAATTATCGTCTATGACTTTCCATAATATTTAAACATTAAACAGTTTAATTTGAACCGCTGTTTACCAATTAGAGTAAACGATTCCTTTCTCCTTTGCAATTAATATTTTAATTGGGAAAACGTCATTCGCATTGCATCTATATTTAGAACATAATAATTCAATTATTCAAAACTTTTTTTTCTTTTATGTGCTGCAATTTGGTAAAAATATATTGGGTCATATATACCTGTTAAAACCAAAATCAATCTAACTGAAATTAGTTCTCGGCCTTAATTAATTTTCGTTTTCATAATTGCACAACTTTTCAACTGAGAATTGACTTTAATAACAGGTTTGAAATCTATTATCTTCTCAATTGTATCACTGCAACTTTAATAAATAATTATTTCTACCTTGTGTCAGATTTACATCTGTCAAATTCAATCCTATCTTACCAAAATTAATTTTTGACATGAATTAATTGTTGTTCCTATAATTAAATAACTCTATGGACAAAAATTCGTTACCTGAATTAACTCGAAGACTATCGAATACGTTAAAAGGCTAATCGAAACATTTGATACCAATACTTCTTTAGATATCAAGATAATATTGACTTTTCTAAACAACTCGATACGTTTTCCTTCCTTTTTTCATACTTTCGTGCACCAAATACATGGAGAGTGACATTCCATTAATCTCGAACAGTAAAATGAAAGAAAATTCCTAAATAGTAATTTCGACAAGATAATATGTAATAAGAGACGAAGTCCTTTAACAAACTTAAGGTCATCTTATTATTCATAAAAATATAACTTCTAAGAAATGCAAGAAATCATATAAACCATATTTGAAGCATCAGATTTGAAATTTTAACTAAATTAAAAAATTTTTTACTTAAACTTCAAATTTGTTTTGTGTGACTTTTTGCTCATTTAAGGAGCAATATTTTTGTCGACACCAGCTATATTTTCTTTTTAAGTGACATTGAGGTCCGTTTATCTCATTTCTTATCTTTTATAATAGTAAATTTTTAAAATTATTTAATGTTTAAAATCTTAAATTTCATATTTACTATGCCTCCAATGGTTATTCTTATCGGCTCACCTTGTAAGTGAAACTTCCAGTCACCGTCACACCGATACACGAACTCACAGCATCACTAAATAATCATCATTCCTGCCTCATTAACTTAGATAGCGTACGCTAATCAAATTACGTTCGTACCGACAAACGTTGTAACCATTCCTACTTACCTTGATACTCGCTTTTATTTACAAATCGACGGGTTTAATGGGACCGGTAGTTCCACTTTTTACTTCAGCACGTTTCTAATTGTCAGGCGGGGCCTGTACCTGAGAGACATCCCCCTTCACGACGCCACCAGAGATCTCGTACTGATGTCGGAGCAATTCGAGGCTGATTACAAATTAACGAGGAACTTGGAATTGCTTACCGATAAATTGCAGCAGACGTATCGCGAGCTCGACGGCGAGAAGCAGAAAACCGACAGGTAAGGATTTCCGTCCGCGTAATTTTCTGATTAAGGAAATCCCCATTGGCCTCGTTTGCCATTTATCCTGACGCAATTCTGCCGGAATCGACTTCTCCACCGTAGCCACAGTTTCTTTCTTGACAGGATACTCTTTCCAACCGGAAATTGGATCGTACACTTCTCTTTTTCCCTTCTTTTTCCTCTCTCTTCATCATTATCGAAAGATCGTTGCAGCAGTAGTTTTCGTAGCTCTGTCAATTTTGAAGCTCGAGGACGTTCAAGACGTGAGCGAGATGTGACGATGTCTTCATCTGAGGTCGGCTTTATCTTTCAAGAAGTACACCACGAAATCAAATCTATTCTAAGGTATTTGGTAATTAAATGGAGGTGTGATTAAATTCGCGGCAGCAGAAGGTGAGGATGAAGATGGAAGTTTATCGGTTTGATGAAACGTGTTTAACTGTGTTGATAAGAACTCGTGTTAACGAGGAAATTAAATGTTTTGACTGAGAAAATAAAGGGAAGAAGATTTGTAATTCTTCGACTTGAGGAAAATTTATTATATTCCAATTTCATATAGAAAATATAAAGAGGAAAATCATCTGTAATCTTTTCGTTGAATTAGGGTTTCGTTTCTTGGTGTCTTTAGGCTCAGACGATTGAAATATCGTTTTTCTGAGTCTAAGAAGTACATTATTATTTCCTTAAATTCTTTCAGTTTCTGTATTATTCACTTTTCTTTTGTTCTTTTTTTTCGACGTTGACATACGATAAACATACGCAACGAGGAGAATTAATACGAATTGCAAATGCATTTTTTCACTTGCTGCCTTGTGACGTATTGCAGGAATTAATTAAGTCGTGTAGCACAAAAGAATTTTTCGTAAGCAGAGTGGCTATGTCTGCTGTGGAATGGGATAAAAAATTTTTAAATTGTCATGTAAAGGTGACTTTTATTTTTCAATGAGAATTTGAGTTATTGTTGGCATTTGATTAATTCATGTGGAATAATCGTTTGATTCGATACCCAAAGTAATCAATTACATGTCTGGATATAAACTATGTCGATCGTTAATTCGACCAATTAAAATCCACAATATTGATATATGAAATATCGGCGAAATATCGCAAATAGTTCAGCTACTCTGGTCTATTACAGAAATATTCGGGTATTGATTACGGTAAATATTATAGTAGCGAATGACTATCCAACGTATTAACCGATAATGACGAGTTTATTGGTATTTGTAATATCTCTAGTGACGTATGTATATCCGCCACATTTAACTTTATCTGGAATTCATAATCTCAAATGTAATTTAAATTTATTAGAGACATCGTCATAACGATCAATACTGAAGCACTGAATAATACGTAGCAAATTTGGACTAAAAATTGAAAATGAAAGATCTAAATCGGAAGTAAAAAATTTTTAAATACGTAGGTAATTGGTTGCAATTTTAATATGGTGTTCCATTCCAAAGAACAAAAAGAAATAGTGGAAAACTGCCGCGACGTTATAACTATTATAACGAAGAAGGTTACTACAATAGTTACCCATAGTGGACACCAAGATTATTTGCATATTAGTAGAATTTTTCTTTGGACTGGTATTTTCCATAAATTTTGAAAAATCGATTCTACGTCGATCTGATTCTAGATCGGTGCAACATAGGTGCAATGTAAGTTCTATATTGGTCAAATATTCTTGTATCGATTTTGTACCGGTTTTATATCAGTTTCAAGATGGTTCCCTACCTTCATATATACGAAACTACTTGAAAAAATAGAATCGATATCATAACTGCCATAAGTATTCAAGTCCCACTAGAAAGTCAAATTCGTCATAGAAACATTGGGTTACAGGCACCATGAGTACCCTCGACTCTCAATAATGTTTCACCAGAACAATGTGCGATAAAATGCAGAATAACATACAAACAAAACGACAACTATAATAAAACTATAAACTACACTTCAACTGTACACTTCGAGCTCTCGAGCCTTCCTCTATTCAGAAATTCTCTCGGCTGCACCAGCCCATGAATCTATGCATTTCCCCGTCCATGTATCTTTCCATGAGCATTCTCTCTTCCCCTATCTCTGTCTCTTTCATTCCGTGCAGCCATTCATAGCAGACATTCGGGCACATCCACCAAAATCCTTGGATAATCTTGCATCCCCCGTTCACGCTTCAGCCACACTCCTCTCACGCTTCTAATATTCCAAACTAAACATCCTTCATCCGTTCCTCTATCTCTTAGACCCAAACACTCCTCGTCCACTCTGAATAGACTCTACCATTCCTACAATTTTCACGTAAAATTCTGCAGGCCAATTTGTAGGAAGGCAGGAAACTGCGCAGCCCAATTTCCTCTAACTACTGACACTCAGTTTCTAGACAACCATAAGGACACTGATTAGATCATTACAGATTAAAAGGTATTACTGTTGCATTTGTGGAAGATTAATTGTTGTATCGAAACAGATGTAACAATGTATAATAAAGAGACGTCGATTAAGCGAGGAATGCCTAACAAAGAATCCGACACTGCGTCAGTACTCGAGGATCAAAGCGGTCCTAGTTGAAGATACCTTTGGAGCTTGACGTTAAACCCACCTCAACCTAACTGACCAGTTTGTAACTTTTGATTAAAAACTCTGTCACGTGACTTTAGTCAGTGCTTCACCCTATACAGGGTGGGCCACGTCGATCCTGTTCGTTTCTAGTAACTTCTAGTAGCTTAAAGTGAGTCTTTATTGTTTTTCCAATAATTAAATAATTGTTGATATACGAGCTGTTCACGTTACGTGCTCCATCCTATATAAGTCGATCATTTGCTAAATTGGAGAACTCTACGAAACAAAGAGCAGACATTTATCATTGAAATAATAGGTTAGAAGGTAGAATTAATGAAGTTAAATAAAGAGAATTGATTTCTTTTGCTCATAACTTTCGTTTTATATATCACATCCTCTTCTTGTCTTACCTTTCCTGGGACTTATATGCAACCTGCTTTGTCAACCACGACTGATCATTTGACCAGAACAGTGACCCGCCGTGGTGGGTTCAGTATCAAGGAAGCCAACGAAATTAGCGATTCGTTGCACGGTGGGCTGCGATTGAAGGGAGCTGCATTAAAATTTGCCGGTGTTCCATAGGTTGTTGTACTCCGTGCTGCCTATTTCCGTGGCCAACGAGCTCAGGCATTCGAGGCCGGTTCCGGCAAAGAAATACGACTGCGTGACCCTGTTGTTCTCCGGGATCGTCGGTTTTGGGGCCTACTGCGCCGCTCACACGGACTCCAGTGGCGCGATGAAAATCGTCAACATGCTCAATCAGCTGTACACTGCGTTCGACGTGCTCACCGATCCGAAGAAGAACCCGAACGTGTACAAGGTGAGCGTTTATTTCCTCTGCAATCTGTAATGACGATGATAAGCTGAACTCGGTATCCCAGATAATTCTGGTTTTATGGATAATTGGGTAGAATAGATAGAAAATTGGGTAGAAAAATGGTGGGACTAACATACAGCTTTTTGGGTACGTCTGTGTGAGATTTTGGTGGTCTTGGGTAGATCTCCAAACTTCAAAACTAACGCTTCAAATTAATACTCGATTTTCTTTCGAATTTTTAAAAGACCTTTGAATCCGCGTGTTTTATCATGATAACAATTTTGTAATAAATGTGAGATATTAATTTACAAAGTAGCACTGATATTGATTTATATTATACTTAACCTACTGCACATTCTATGTTCAGAATATATATCTCAAATTTTCGCATTTTTTTAACACCATATTTGACATTATAATTGAAACTTTATACTCATATTTTAATTATTAATTATAGCTTTGATATTAATGTAAAATGGTGGTTTTGCGCTTTATAATTGGCATAAAATTCCTAGATGAAACGAAAAGATGTTAAAGTAGTGTTAGAGTAATGTTAAATTGTGTAAATGTATATCAATTTACTATATATATTATAAACAAAATTTTAAGACTCTGAGATGTTTATGCCTCTTTTAAAACAAATCCAGATGTATATAAGTAAGGTGGCAAGAAGTAATAACATAGAAGCCACGTTTTGCACGACGTAACCTAAAACCATCATGGCGGCTGAGTCGTAGCAGTATATATTTTTGAAAGGCACTCTCGCGTTGGAAAGAAAGTTTCCTCGTAACGCGTGCCGTTTAAAATGCATTAATGGACGGTTGCGAGGTATACCGTAGGAAATACGAACGACAGCCGTTGTTAGAGATACTGGCTATTTTAAATAATAATGCTGGGTAGAAGGAGAAACTTTTCTGCCCCTTAGGAGTTCCCTTTTAGATGTAGGACTCGCCTGTTCGGTTCTGCAACTTGAAAGAGGCGTATTGTGATTCGTAGATGGCGCTTTGTGAATATAATAAACTCTGGATATGAGTTTTCTTATTTGAATTCATTTTTCAAATAAGTTTCACATTTTTCTTTCTTTAACTCCTTTTCATCGTAAATTGAATTGAAGCAATTAATTTTATTCGTTTTTCCGCCATTGTTTGCTATCGTGGAAATATAATTCCACACTCGTGCATAATTTAAACATATTTTTGAATAATATAGACGAATGTAACGAGTGAGGAAGTTATTATAATTCGCAAAGTAAATTTATTGTTAATCCTCGATAAACGAGATTTCCTCCGTTTATGGGAAAATAAATTATACCTTATCGGAGTTTCTTAACTCGGTTTGCAAACTGGGTACTAATAATTGTTATCAATAGTGTAATAAATTTAAAATGACTCGCATAAAATATAATTATTTGTCAAAGGAATATATATTAAAACGGAATTAAAGGAATATCGAGGATTTAAAATAATTCCCGATGTTACGATATCCATACTTGGCCATCTAGAAATCACAGTGCAGTTAGAACTGCAATCATCAACCATAACAGTTAAATCCCTTTAATCCTTTCACTGCTTATACGTTCCACTGGTCCTCAAACACGAAGTAACCATTAGTTCTCTGTTATATAAAATCATTTTCATTTCTATTCGTGGGTATTACACCATAACTGTTATAATTACACAAAGTACTTCAATATTCACAAATGTTGACAAATTTCTTCTGCAAATATACCTCTAAACTTAATGACGCTATAAAAAAATATTAAATTCTGTTTATATTCATTTTAAATAATTACAAAACTTCTTTACTCCTTAACCCATTTAATTTATTTTGTCTATCGTCTCTTCTTCTCAATTTATTAAAACAAAGAAAAAATTGCTATAGTGTGCAAACCTGATAATACTGTAGTAAAGAAATTAAATCTTCCTCACATTTCTTTTAAACACTTAGAAACGCCTGTTATCAACAACGTCTACTATATCAAATTCGAATGTATGCAGAATTGGAATGAGTATAGACTTAAAAGGGTGTCGGGAGTGTTTGAACTTAGAACAAAGGTGGCCGCACGCAAGAGGATCGAATATGATAAGTATGGCAGAGCCGAGTGCGATAGACGATTGGGAGTTAGTTTATGAGAGCGGCATTTGTTTGAAGTACCTGGTCCACCGAGATTGCGGGGAAAGAGGCATGATTGGGAAGGAAAACCTGAATATGAGAAAAGGACAGAATGTATGGTTTAAATAGGGATGCACTGGCACGGGCGAGTCAGTGTGTTAGTCAGAGTGTGTAAGCCAGTATGTAAGAATCTAAATCGGTCAAAGAAAGATCAGAATTTGTGTCCATGACGAATCTCTCCTGTTTCATAGCCGTAATTTTATTTATAAGCTTATTTTATTCTATTAAGAAGCCCACAATTCTGTCCTGAGTCAGTCTATCCAAAATTGAATCCTACATGTATTATACCAGAAGTTTTAAGAAATTCTCATATTTATCTGGAATGAAAGATTCATACCTATACTGGTTCAGTTGACAAACACTGCTTCCATCTGTCAATCAACCGAGCCATTGATCCGAAGGACACTAGTGCGCAAGTATCAAATCCTTCTCACCCCACCCTGTGCACCAACAAAAGCCATAATTTCAACCTATCTTCTACTCACCAGTAAACATCCCCAGATCCATCGAAACACACACCGATACGAATTATCCTGCCTTCATATTCCGGTAAAATACGTTACATCGATCGAACTTGCACGAGAACATCGTTGGAAAGCTAAAACCGGGATCCAACATATAACCATTATACATCCGACAACGGATATATTTGAATTTACGAGAAGGCTTGTTAGCACTGATCCACTTTGGTCGGACTAGGTCGAAACTGTTGGTGACAAATACATGGCCGTGAGCGGATTACCGGAACCATGTCGTTGCCATGCACGGTGCATCGCCCGCCTAGCATTGGATATGATGGATCTGGCTGCGGACGAGGTGCAGATCGATGGCGAGCCTGTGGTAAGCCCCCATATTTTTTATGTACCGTTTCGTGGCCTCGGACTTTACGCTTCCGCGGAGGATCCGCTCGAATTGTACCATCTGCATCCCAAGAGGGATGTTTGTCATGAGCTCTGTTAAGACTTCTATCGTCCCCGATATCACCGATACAGTTTCCGGCTCGAATGCGTGATGAATTATTCTTTCTTTCACGATGAGTCGCTCGAAATTGCTAGATAGAATTCCTACCTTTTCTTTGTCGTTTTTCTTTTTACTCTTTTTTTTCTTGCACGCTGTATAATTGCGGTGATACTATTGGGAAAATGTAGTTATGGTTGTTGGTCGTGCTTCAAATTCATTAGTTAGGAAAATTGTGGAATATTGTGGAAGTTAACTACTTATCCTACTCCTCTCACATTTCCAGAATTCTGATATTGCTATAAATATTGTATTTTGTGTTCATTCTTGTACGGAAAAATATGTTGATAGATTAAATGAAATCAGTGAGTTCAATATTATTTAAAACACTTTTATATGTTATAATGATTAATATAGAATCCAATATCTTTGTTTTAAATTGTATGTTCATCTATGTAGCTTGATGTAATATACTTTTTATAGTCGTTACTCGTTAATTTAAAACCGAAATATAGTGGCCCACATTAATTGCACTCCTATTTGTATAGTGCGATATATTTTTTACGGGAGTTATAAATTAATTTAGAATAAAAATATGTCTCGTAGGATTTAATATAATACTCTCTATAAATTATACTTTAGCATAACGGAATATATCCTTTAATTCCAAATTCAAGAAATTGTAAATAGAATTTCGTATGTTTTCGTGATAATTATAACGATTTCGGCGTCTCTAATCCCTTTAAAGTCACCCCTTTCGTTTTCGCCGAATTCAAATTCCGCGCCATGCCTCTCCGTAGAATCACGTCCAACCTATCAGCTAGAATTCACTTAGCTTCAGCGAATACCGCGCTAATGCATTTATTTCCGTTAGAGCGGCGTTTAAGCAACGGAAAATGCATCGAAACGAGTTAAACGTTGCGCGACTTGGCTTTTCAATCGCGTCCCGAGAAGCACGGCACGGAGATAGGCGACTGGAAGATCTCTTGCATTCGATTATCCGTAGAAAGACCGTTGTTCTCCTTCCTGAACGGGGCTCTTCCTGTTATCGCGCGAAAGCTTCCGCCGACTAACGTTAACGCAGGCGACGTGATGCGAATCCTCATTGTCACTCGGGCGAACGCTAAACGTTTGACAAACGTGCGAACTGTTTCGCAGAAAATCACCATCGGGATCCATAGCGGTGAGGTCGTGACAGGGGTAATTGGACACCGTATGCCTCGTTACTGCCTGTTTGGAAACACTGTGAATCTTACCAGCCGCACAGAAACCACTGGGGAACCGGGAAAGATAAATGTCTCCGAGGATGCATACAGGTATGAAGCTATCGTTAAATCACGGTTTTATGGCAATTAGGGGTTATTTTTGATGTACATATATACTGGTGTCGAAAGAATTTAGTAAGTTTGATACTAGATGTGAGTATCTCACGAAGGTTATGAGAAGTTAGTTTTGCTATGCGTCAATTGTACGCCATATATGATATATGTGTGACTAGTGCTCTCTGGCGGAATTACGAGATATTACTAGTGATTTGCGACTCATCATGAGATTTCGCAGTGGTAAATTCCCTTAGGTAACTGAAAGTTTTGATTAATTTAGGTTATGTTTGCATTAGGTTGAAATTTTGTTTCACGGGTTGTAGGTAATTAAGGTGTTCATGATTTAAGTGGTTTGGAAATTAATTGACATCCAGAAACGAGTAGAATTCTATAATTAGGTTGATTTCATATGTGAAATTTAGAACTCGTTAGTTGTAACTTGTCAATTTGTTAATATCGTGAATTGATTTCGGTTAATATTATGCAAAAAGTTTTGATTTAAAATCTAGTAATTTCTGAGAAAACGAAAGAATATCTGAAACGTTGTTTGAAAAAATTTGTAGTACTTCTGTAGTACAATCTTGCTTTTTCTAGGATAAAGTGGAAACAAATTAGGCTAAACAGTAAATTTGCCACTTAATTAGTTAGTTATGTCAACAAAATTGTAACAAATTATGTTTAACTTAGTAGTACAGTTAGGTCCTTGCAAAAGGCGTAATAATAGCAGCATAAATGTTTATTAACTTGTTTCACAAAAATTTTGGTACTTACAAATTTTTTAACTTTGTCTTACTTGTCTTTACACTTTGTCTTACACACAGATATATATAATTTTTGTAACTGTGTCTTGCATTAGATGTTCAGGTGCATGCTATGCAGTAAGAACAAATTCCAAAGTAACGTCGAGATGGTATGTAAACTTAGCATTTATGTTAATGAACGTTCAAAGCGATGTCCCTCGGCTGTGATGCATTGTCTGAAACGAGCAACGACGAATTGTAGTGCTATGTGAATTATTTCTGGAATAGCAACAATACAGCTCTAATTAACAACGTGTTGCCGTCATGAGATGTCGCTTTGTGCATTTATTATCATAAGCAGGAAGTTTTCGTACCACCTATATATCGCTCAGTATTAGGTACCTCTCTTATGTGAAGTCACAATATGGCGACAATTTAAACATTAATCGGTAACATAAAATAAAATAGTAAAGAACATATTCTTTCGTACGATTGTATCAGGATCTTGAATAACTTAAAGAAAAAATAATCGTGGAAACCTTTTCTAGTCTTTTGAAAATGATTCAAATTGTGTTTTAAATATTACAACACTAAAATCAATGGAAATATTTACATGCTTTAATGGCAGTTAAAAATTAATTCTTAAAATGGACGTACACGCAAGAAATTATTATTTCATCGAAAACAAATAAATGGAGTACAAATAAATTACTCATATACGTAAAAAGAATAACTATTCTGAATATATATACTGTTTCTTCTCAATTCGCAAATAAATGCATGAAAGAAATAAGGAAATATTGAATACGCAGTACATTAAAAAGGTCAAACTGGCCATTGGATTCACGAGAAGAAATGCGTAAATAAAGAGGTTCGACGTTTCATGGTTATTTCTTGCATCGCTCGTGTATATGGAAATGAACTTGACCCTAAAATGCTTTTGACATCTCAATTTGTCAACCTTTCTTCTACGAAATTCTAATGACGTCTTTAGTTTCCTGTCATTTCTATACATTGGTACTCTTGAATCTGCGAAGTAAAGTATGATATCCATCATCGAACATTCCAAAACGGGGGTCCTTAATAATCAAAATTTAAAAATTCATTCAAAACTTAGTAAGTCCAATTCAAAGTATTTCTAATACTTTACTTAAAAAACATTTTTATTTCCCTTAATTTCCAAATTTTTTAAATATTAAACATTTATTTCGTGATTTAATTCTAATTTCGTGAAATTAAAGCTTGTCAATTAGTATCTCAATTATTCTAAGCAATTCGAAATCCTACTGGAGTTACTGACAAACAACCGGTGATCCTATCCAGCAACATTATCGCGTCAATGAATTGTTTAAAGGGGAGATGGTAATTCAATTACACGAGCGGGCTGAGGAAAATCTAGGAGGGCTCGTGAGCTATCATACCCATGGGAAATTCATTCGACGCACGGGGATAAAATTTAATGCAAAACGCCAGTTGAAGCGGTTACAAGTCTGTCAAGACAGTCTCCTGGGTATTTTAAATTTCAATATCACTGCTATACGTCGAGACTATTAACCGTGCTCACCTGATATCTCGAATTCATGAGAACAACAAATCGTATAAATCATTCGGTACCAATCTTCTTGTTCATCCAATAAAACTCACCGACTCGTCGCTTATTCCTAACCTACGACATGCGAAAGCGTTTCACTCTACACTGGTTAACGCGTTTTGCCCGACTCCGCAGCCATATTTAATGATGACCGTAAACTCCGGCGACAGTGGCGATAACTGGCGGCTAAGAGCCTTATGAAAAATGTAATCCGCCGCAAGACAACTTTCATGTACAACGGTGTGTGCACCGCAGCTGTGCATACAGCTTCCATTAAGTTTGAAATTCGTAAATGGTTTATTCCTGCTTCGTGTCGCGCTTTGTAGGTTAGATCAAAGCAAGTTGTGCGAGAATCGGTGATGTTCTAAAGTTCGTGATTTGAGTAGAGTTTCTCTGATTCCCAGGATTCATTAACCTCGGGATATTACAATGTATAATTACACTGAACCTATTGAACCCAACTTTCCCTGAAGCTACCGAGACTCGTTCATAGACTGTTGCATTCAAGTGACGTTACTTTGCCCTGATCGACGTTGAACTTGCCTCGATGCTTTCAGATAGAATCGACGAATGTTTCGTCGTAGTTTTGCTTATCGAGTTTGACTATTTTCTTCGCTGCTTTTGTTAGTAAATATGTTTTGCTATATTTCAATGACTAAATGTGTGTGTGAGTTATATATAGATACTTTATGAATGACAATATAAAGAAATACGAAAATAGCAATGTAAGAATCCTTTACTAGATAGAAGATCTGTTCAAAGATTTCATAACATAGATTTAAGCTGCCTTTAATTTCGAAGAATCTGTCTTTTACGATTTCTTATTACTAAATTATTTTATTAATTATTCTTGGGGATTAAGAATTAAATATATATTACGGAATCAGTAGTTTCTATTAAGCAAGGTAAAATTCCTTTGGAGACATTTTGCCATACATTGAATGGCTTTTTGGGGGAAGACCTTTGTATATTTTAGCAATGAATCCTTCGAAGTAGTTTTTGCAAGCTGCTGACGTATTCTATTTCTTGCTGCTAAAAGAAGTTTTATAAGGACTGGAATAAATGATAGTGGGACTATCCTATATCCGGTGAATGGCACGAATGGGGTTGAACATTCCAGCTAAGGTCCAACATTTTTTGTCTGCTCTTCATCGATCCACGAAGCCTAACATTGTCTCAAGGAACGACGCACAGTGAGGAATTTCTCTGAAAAGCTGGCCAAAATATGAAGACATCTTTCCATTTGTACAAAAATTGGTATCATACAATTTCAATAGCTGCTGATGATAAATTCGAAATCATAGGTAACGAAAAAGCAAAAGAACGGTATCAAAATGGCGGACAGATATGCAGAAAAATATTTGATTTTCTCGAAACTTGGTATCTTGGTAACCTGACATTGCGGTTAAATATGTTAAAAAATTGTTAAAATAGTCGGACATCCGCAGATTTTCGAGCTCGCTAATTAGGTAAATGGATACAAAATTTCAAAAGATTAAAAAAATATGAAAATATTGAAGAATTAATTATATGCATATTAAATGATTAATTAAAGCCGTAATTTCGAATACGGAATTTTTAATTGTAGGTTTAGTATTACGTTACTACCTTTATTGAAGGATATCATAGCCGATTAATACGAGTGAGTCTAAAATCGAAATTTGCATATCGAGCAGAAATCACTGTACTTATCCCATATTAAATTCTACTAATAGATTAATACGATATTTTTGGTCGTGACCAACGGGGCTGACTTCAACTGTCGAACGTAATCCTGTGCCAGCTTATTTTTAGTTCAAATACGTTCGTTTTACATTTCACGTACACATTCCTACGGGCATCCGGCGCGTTGCTTCAAATTCGTATCGAGGATTTGTCCTATCCGCTTCCACGTTTCTGATATTTCCCTTTGAAACGACCAACGACTCGCAAATATTTGCGATTTTTAACTTTGCCCAGAAATAAACGGCAAAATCTCACTCCAGTTACTCATGTGCCTAGATCATTTTCTAAGTCCCTCCACGTATTGTCCCGATTATCGGCTACGAAGGGTATGAATCATCTTTCAGCTGAAGCCATACAACATTCTGCTCTGATCGAATACATTGGATTATCAGTCAGGAACGAGATGAATTTTCACGTGGAAAATTCGATTTCATACTCTAGAGATATGCATGTAGAACTATTTACTCGACAATAACATTTGTATTTTTCGAACGCAATGCAGATAGTTACATAATTGTGAAAAAGTAATCGCACATTGGAAACTCTTTCGGTAAAGAAAAATTAATGCCATCCATAATATATACATATATTGTATATATATATATAATATCGATGACGTTTCATGCAGTAAAAATGAAAGATAAATATATAACTACATTAATCTATTTTCATTTACATAACAGCGCAAGCGTAGCCCTTTGCTTGGTATCGCTTCCCAAAAATTATACTTTGGGAAACGATACCAATTACCAGGTCTTGCCACGTGGAGGTGGTTACGCATCGAGACCCGACATGCGCCCTAGTGTCGCAGCTTACTGGTGCTACCTGTATCAAAGGCACCCTAATCAAACTTGGAGCGAAAGAAGTTACGGTGAATCTACTGACACTTTACAAATTTTCGTGTTTTACAAAAGGAATTACGATTCGGTATACTAAAACTATACTGTCGCAACGCTAAGATATTTCAATTCAATAGATTTTAATATTTCTAAGTTCCCACAGAATCTGGGAATCACAAATGAAAACCGACTAGCCTACGGGATGTACTGCTGTGTACAAGACAACTTCATACCTCGGCACCCTCCCGATCGAACCTAGCCCACCCAGCCACCACAGACCCTGCCATGACTTACTCGAGAACGAGAGCGATCGACGAACCAGCGAAACGCCCAAAATCAAGCCGAGGGGCCCTAGCGAGGCCCTGTAGCCGGTCACGCAGGCCCCTGCCACATGGGGGAGAAATTAATCATCCCATGGGGTTTGACCGTAGGCCCATATGCAATGTCCGGCTACAGGACCCATACCCCGGTCGTGCACGCGCTGGTGCCAAGGACGACTAGGGCCGACAGACCCTCGAATTGATCCCAGGTGAGTGCCAACCCACCGACCACCCTAGAACCGATGCGTGACAAGGGTGGCAGTGGCGAGGGTGAGTGCCGGAACGAGTCGTTTGGATGACTTACGAAATATGGAGTTATCGAGTACACGAGAGTACGTCGCGCAGGCTAGTCGGTGCTTAAGAACGATCGCGATTATCGCGAGAACAATTATGTTCTATTTGGTAAACGAGAGGGATAAGAGAGAAGAAATGTGAACTGTATATATTTGCTCCAAGTTAGTTAGTTTGCCTTTGTACAGATAGCACGCACATGAAACTTAGACTAGGAATCTAGCTTATAACTGCTTATAACTGCTTATAACTACTTATGTCTAAACGCACGCATCTCGCGTCGTCCATTAATGTGTTTCAAATGAAGTCTTGAGGAAATTTGAGAATCTTGAGGAACCTAAAAGCTAAAACAGAATACTTTATTGTTAATATAAATCTGAAGGGAAACGGGTTAGTACGAGGAAAGAAAATGAACGAGTAGAAACCCTGAAGGCTAACCAAGTGGAAGGAACAACCTACCGATGAGATAGAAAGAAAACAACGAAACATTCGAATATTATACGAAATATTCGAATTCTCAAGTGAAAATAAATAGAAATGGAAAAATAAAATCTGAAGAAAAAAATAATTAAACTCTGAAAAGAAAAAAAAATTAAAATCTGAAAAAAGTGAAAAATTATTATGAACCCAACGAGGAGACATGAACTAACCAACGATGAAATACGATCAACCCAACGATGAGGCATTCGAATATTATACAAAATATTCGAAATGTGAAATAAAAATAAATAGAAATGAATAAATAACATCTGGAAAGAAAGAAATTTATTAAAAGCTGAAAAAAAGAAAAAATAATTTGAAGCTGAAATAAAAAAATAATTAATACCTGAAAACAAAATAAAAATTATTAGTAAAGCATTTAATGGGGTGGGGTGAGGATGGGGTAGCTATCCCCAACTTCACTTCGAATCCCACCCCTCGCGCACAACGAAAATTTAAATGTTACACTTCCGAAGTTGAACCGACAAATGAGTTCTGGATCGTCGCGTCGCTCCTTATATAGCCGTCGATCGGCCGAGCTCCCCGCCCCGACCAAAAATTTCAGAACCTTACCGATTCCATTAATTATTATTTTCCCCCCGTAATAGCCAATAATTTATGAATTTTTTTCACTGTCATTGTAAGTTTACGTCGTGAACTATCTGTTAATAACAATATCAATTTGTTATTAACAGTCATTGCAATAATTTATCAACTTTTTTGTAAATTATAAGTACATTTCTTCACACGCATACTATAAGCACAAGTAATAACCGGTTATTTATTAATTTTTTCAATTTTGTTATAAATATACATTGCAGACAATTTGTTGTTAACAATATTAATTTGTCATGAACAATAAGAGTAATATTCTATAAACTTTTTGGAAATTGTGGATACATTTTAAAATGAGTACGTTATAAATTCAAGTAATTGACAACAATTTATTAATTTTTCCACTTTCCTCGTAAATTTAGGTTACGAACAATTTGTTATTAACAATAAATTTGATACTTTATAAACTTGTTACAAATTATAACTATATTCATTCTTTTCGAATATAAATTTTACGTGAGATGTTCCTTTATATATTCTATTGAGTTGCAAAGTTTATGTTTATAAGACGTATTTTATGGGAAAAACATTTAAAATATAAAATTTCTAGAGTACAAGATGTGCCGGTACATCGAGCGAGCTATAAATCTTAGGAGATATAGGAGCATTAAATTTCGTGAAATTGGATGACCCATAAAATTTAATTTAATATAATAGGTATCTGTTATTCAAAATACTATATATATCCAATTCTAAACAGTTCGATATTACGAACAATTAATTAGTCCATATGGTTCAGAAGCTCAAAAAGTATTACAAGAAGAAAGAACCGAATAATGTTTCTTTTAACAATCCGGTGGAACTTCTATTAAAACGAAAAACGTACGAAACTTCAGAGTAAAATTAATTAAAATTCACAGAATGGTAAATTCCATTTTCCGCTCGCAGCAAACACACGCAAATAAGAACATCGTCCACGTTTAAACAAAAAAGTATTACACAACACATAGCCAGAGTTGGCAGAAAGTAAATTCCACTTCTCAAGAGTACCAAGCACGAACTCACGAAAACAGTGCATTTCGAAATAATGGAATATTGTGTACATAACGTAATTTCTTCAATTTTTCAACATCCAACGAAAGCGTGTCTCGTGGCAAACTTGTGTTACATTTTCCACCCCTGCTCGTATCGGTAAAAGTTTGACCGCTCAAGTGCGAAACACTGTATCGCGACTTTGTGTGTGTTCTACAGTACCGTGAGTTCAGGATAAAATATCACGTATAAAATGGAAAACTCGATCCGTCGGTATCGGAATTTATACGGTCAAGCTGTTATTGTACGGCGGCAGTTCGATCAGTAAGTTGCCCGCTGGCATACAACGCTCCAAATGCCGTTTGGTAGAAACTACCCCGGAAGTTATGGACGACTTTGAAACGTTTTAGCTGATGCTTACGACCAACGTATGCATTTCGCGTGTCAAACTCCTCGAGATACACTTAACGCTAGATCGTATGCCCTCCCGATCACATCTTGCTGCAACTTCAGATGCGTTCATGGAAACTGCCTTGAAACTGTATATCGAGTAACCCATTCTGCTCTACAAATGCTTGTATTTCTCCGATCTTCGCTTTTCCTTCGATTTCCCCTTGGAGACTGCAGAGAAACTCGTTGGGGGATGATAAAATCGGGGAATGTATATCTAGGGAATAGAGGATAGAATTCTCGAATGTGGAGACTGAAAAGTACTACAAAGATAGTTTCGGTAATGCGTTAATTATTAGTTGTTATTTGAATTGGTTACTTTTCTAATAATTAGGCAAAAATGGAATCAATTTGTAGATTAAATACGATTAACTTTTGCATTTAGTTTATTCAAGAGAAAATGATATAAATTAGAAAGTGTTACTTATTGCTAGTATGCAACAGGTTGTTTAGATCGTTTGTGATACATATGGCACTTCGATTCTCAACACAACATAAATACACATGTCAAAATGTCTAAATACTGCACATATATCCGTAAAATCAAAAGATCAATTTTCAAACTTCAATTTAAAAAGAAAAAGAAAAGAAAAGGAAAAAACAATTATTAATATCGAACAAGCCAAAATTTCAGACTTTCTGTTTCGGCAATTATGGAAATACGCAGTTACTCCTGGCAAATATGTTATAAGGCCCCAGTGGTACAGTCCAGTATCTGCATAAAGCTCATAGACATATCTTAACCCCATACTACAAACTTCCAGTATTACAAAAGCTCTGTGACAAAACCAAAGAATAGTACAAAAATTAGTTAAGTCTCCACACGCCACTCTTAGTCACAAAGGAGGTCTAGGTAGCTCCTCAACGACTCAGGGATTTGAAGTTGTTGTATCCCATGTGGCAACGCCCAGTTCTCGAACAATGTCTCTCTGATGCGACAACGACAGAGATGTCTCAATTCGGGTGGGCTCATGCCACTCCTTTCTGGGGGTACCAGCTTCTGTCCTACCAAAACAGGGTACTGCTCATAGACAGAGACGCTGAAGACCCCGCTCTGGTCAGCTATGTGATCCGGTGTCTTCACGAAAGCCGTGGTCACGGTTCTCAATACCAGTTTCAGACAGAGTAGCAAATGCTCCGGGTAGACTATGTGGTCCTGACCAGGTTGAGCGTCGTACTCACTAAGCTTGTTCAGGAGCATCTCAAGCGGAGAGGGAGCCAGCTTGTCAGACTCGACCGAGGCTCCGTAACGGAGCATGATCAAGAGAATATCCGGGGAGCCATGTTGAATGGCTACTCTCAAGGGTAAAGCCTGGCCATAGGACTCCATGGGGACATCGATGAATCGTCTCTTGTCTGGCAAGGACGCGCACCGATACTCGAGTTTTCCCAGCGTGGCGTGGTGCAGGAAGTATACCAGAGCTTTGAGGTTCTCCTCGCGATCCTCGAAGTCACTCTTCCAGCCGGACAAGAAGTGAGTCACCCTGGTGCCGAATATGGCGCCCACCAAGATTCGCTCGAACGTCTTTTCGCAGTAAAAGATGTCGTTCAGTAGTCGCGAAACGATCTCGTTGTTATCCAGGTTCCAGTCGAAGCATAGTTTAGCTGCTACGTACAGGACGTTGTGGAACTTGCCAAGTAGACACACGTATCCGTTCTCCATCATGGCGATGTTGTGATAGCGCAGGGCTGACATCACTATCCTCTCGCAGACGTCTTGCTTGTCTAGGTTCTCCGCTGGAAATTCGGGCAATATTAGATACAGTACGTGAAGAGAGTTCTGTGAGATGTTGGAAATTTGGTTAACTGGTATGTCAGTTAGTTGCTATTAGGTAGGAATAGACAAGTGGTTCCTTGAAAATTGCTTGATTGATGCTTCAGATTGGTAGTTGAGAATGAGTAAGTGAATTCGTGATGAAGACTTTGTAATATTTACAGATTGGATGACTGGATTCTTGTTTAGTGAATGAAATGGTCCATAGAACGGGAAGTTCTAGACTAGGTTTATTAATCCAAATCAGGCTAACATCACTATCCTTCCGCAGATACCTCGCTTGTCTAGATTTCCCTCTGGACGTTGGGTATAATATAAGCAATTCTCGCTGAAGGCAGTTTGAGTATTGAAAGTTTGGTTAAATGATGTAGCATGTTGTTGTTACTGGTCAACGATGGGAGAATGGATTCTTAATGGCTCAATAGAATTATCCAGTGGACAGGTTGTAGTTACTTGGATGTAGGTTAGATTCATTATGGTAAGTCCGGTTAGGACAGCATGTAAGACACGATAGGGATCTAACGGTAACCACCGAGCTTAAAAGATATTTATGTCCATTGTTTCTATTAATTGAGAACCACTGTAAAGATAGCTAGCTTGACGTTTATCGCGAAAGCAACAAATTTAATGACGACGTTTAACTTTCTCAGATAATACTTCACAGAGCCCCGACTGATATTTAAAGAAAAAGTCTCTTCTACTACACGTATTATATACCTGTAACTATATTTATCATAAGATTATACGAACAATTATTTAAAAGATATCCAATAATTGCATTTATCAACAACATAATTACATTCGATATTTTATTCCTATATTAAAATTACAGTAAACCCTATAAAAATTTCAGAAGCAGGTCGATTAAGAATTTGATTATCTCAAGAATTCCTTTAATCATGATTCTGGAAAAATAAAATTTAACAAATTTTAAATTAAACCTAGGAGCAGCAGAAAATTGTGGGAACAATTTAGAAAGTGATTCTAAACTCTTGGCCAATAGCTCAGACACGAATCGAATTTGATCTTCCACTTCCACTACATTTACCCAACAATTGACCAAGCGAATAATCGAACGACACAATTTGCAAAACTCTCTTTTCACGGATAAGTAATTCCATTTGCGTCTCGCTTCGGGTGGTCGGTTTGCATAATTTTTCGTGGAAAGTAAAATCATATGGACACGAACGATGCGCGGGTTTCTCCCGCATATCACATTACACGGGATCACTTTCTTTCCGGCATTCTCGAACGAATCACTTTCATGGTCACACGAAGTAGCTCCTAGCCGGGCGAACCTGGCGACCATTGAATCGGAAACGCCCATCCAAGTGCGTTGACACGCAGCGATACCGATTCGAATCGATTCTCCTCGAATCCCCGTTAGGTGTACGGTAAATCGTCAGTCAAAATTGCTGTGTTAAAACGGCCGATAATTTTCCATCTCGTTCCGATCGGTCGAAGAACGCCTAGACGCGATCAGCAGGGGCTAACTTGCTATATGGGACCAATTACCTTCAGAGCAGCTATTTATCACATCTGAAAAGTAACCGACCATCTCGCGACGTTTGTATCTAGAGGCCAGACAGCTACGTTCCATCTCAGCGAACAGTTTGTCGAAATAACAGTCGATCAGCACCTCCATGGTGTCCCCTTGCTCCACAAGTGATATGCACCGATCCCACGTCAACGATGATGCTGTGAGACGTGCTAACGAACTATCACGACCATTGTTCACCTCCGAATGACGGCTGACACGAGACACAAGCGTGGATACGGGAGAGGGCTAATTCGATTAGACGTTAAATAAGTATATTCCAATGGCTTCCTCTGTTAGACTACGAGGGGACATCGAGTAGAACCGTGGTAAGAGCTTCGACTACGTCTAGGGTATGAGAGCATGTGTGGATGCACGTGAATGTTGGGTTCTGGTAATTAACGATTTTTAAGCTCAGATGAGTTCGTAACGTGATTATGAATGGAGATAGGGAACCTAGGTCGGATATATGCTCATACATATTCCTTGCGCAGGAAACTTGTTTCCATATCAGTCTCAGAAGCCATCCAGGATGCCACAGAATTTTTCTGCAATTTTTCAATATACCAACATCATATTCCTATTACAGCTACATTTCATGTTCAATTCCTTGGTATTTGATTAATCAAATTGATAAAATGTTAATTACTAATATTAATTTAATTTTATTAATCAAATGACAATATTTACCTTCGAACTAACGTAACATTCGATTATGTTTATATTGCAACAATAATTAACAAACTTACGAATGAAGCAATTTACATATCGGAAATCTCCATACTTCTAGACAACAAAATGGCTCGTAGTGATAATAATACTATAGTAAAAATATATTCATGGCAGTAATATTGAATTACATTTCCTGTTCAGTTATTAAGGTACTACTATTGACCTCTATCGTTGCAGATACCTGTGCATGCCCGAGAATCAAGATTCTCAATTTCTGCTGGAGTACAGGGGACCAGTAACAATGAAGGGCAAGTCGGAACCTATGAACGTTTGGTTCCTGTCCAGAGAGAGGGAGCTATCGGCGTAGATCCGCGACTTCTACGTCGTCCGCCATCTTAGCAATATTTTTGCGCCTCAGCTCGAACTCTTTATTCACTTAGCGCACTACACAGAAGAAAAAGGGAATACAATTTTTACGGTTCTAATATTCTATAAACGAGCGCTGTTCGAAAGTCATACAAAACACAAGCTGTAAGAAGTACCTTTGTATCGTGCGACGGTTAACCCTCGGGTAACTTCTTGTGAACTCCGAGCTTCAAAAAATTCCCCAGATACTCGATTTTCACTAGATCCAAATCAAATTGACGATTAGCAATCGTGCAGGAGAAAATCTTTCATAACGCGTTTGCCAATCGCAGGTTACACGCGATGAATTACGGTAACCACCTGGAATAACCCCATACTTTAACGAGTATTGCGAAACAGAGATGGAAATTTCCACCACACATGCTTCCTGAAGCAATAAAATCAAACGTAAGAACGTTTCACCGACATTGCGACACTTATTCGCGTTTCTCTTCGTTACCACCATAAGAATTCTCTTGCTACATTACCCAGAAGTCACCCAAGGTTTAAGTCGTGCCAGAATAAAAGCGGTTCTTCGTTAATGTATCTTGACGTCCACAATGGCAATCTCGAATCTCCACGTCCAGTTTCCAATCTAACGACCAGTGTTTACTAGCTGTAAATGTAAGAAGCAATCAAATATATATGTCAACGACACTTGACAGCCTGTCCATTGGCGTTACGCGAGACTCCTATTCTGCGTTCCCTCTCCCGCAGTTCAGGTTAGTCCGCTTGCTTCGCGTCAGAGGTCGCCATCGCGGAGCGACCTCACCCTTAAGCGGGAAAAAAAGAAAACGGGTAGTCGCGGCCTCTGGGCTGGAATGTCTCGAAGCTGGAAGGTGTAACGGAACCTGTTCTACTCCCCGGCACGTCCCACGCACTTCGCAAGGTCAATACATCGAAGCCATCGTGCGCAACACCCGATCCGCGGCACAGATTCCAGCGATCATTTTTCCTCTTTTCTACGTGGAATATCTCAATGCAACGCTTCGTCTTGCGAAAGTAATATATCACGCTTGTTAGGAACCGGCCGACTGTCCTGGTTCTTTCACACGATCTTGCATCCTGCGCACGCGTACAGCACGTACACTACTAGCCAAAAGTTCGCAATCCCTGCGTAATCCTCCAAACCCAAATTGTAAAAAGAATTTTTTAATATCTGACAACGTTGTCGTCTCGATTGTTTAAGCGAACAACCGGGATGGTTATTACGACTGATACTTGTGTTTCAAATTAACGTCAGAATTGGCGGGAGATTCGATATATGTACAAGCGCGAAAGTGAATTTAAATTTTTGGACCACGGTGTATGTGCTTTATTATGACTCGTTCCTCTCGCTGGTGTTTCGTCCCGTAGGCGCTATTCGTTTGGAACGTGACTTTCCAAAAGTTTCGAATAAATCAAATCTCCGAGAGGAGATTAGTTTCAACTGATTTTATGGCTATCTTGTCGTCTGTCCGGAGCGCTTGATCCTTGTGTTTTGACACGTGGTGTGTGAATTACATCCTCGATTATCTACGTAATAGCAATGATAATAACCGTGCAACTCTGATCAGTCGACGGTACTTGTCATTAACGAGGAGATATCTCTGTGAATTAGCTGTCCACGTGGAAATAATAATTCTTGGTATATAGGAACGACTAAACTCGATATCTGTCGAGTTAATACGTTTTATCCAACTTGAGTCATCCATCTTGTCACGGATAGTCCGGTAAGTACGATAAATAAATAGTCAAAGGTAGAATTATTTCTCTGACCAGTCAGTGGCTCGTGTACTACGTTTGATAACTCGAGAAATATTTCTATTAAGCTGCACACACGACTGCCTATGCAGAATTCGTTCGTCATTTCTGAAGACTTTTAGTGAACGAACCAATCCTGGGTTGAAAATTCGCTTTAACATTCACACGTTTACACCTGCTTCGTATCGCGTCATGTTACTATAGCATCACGCGCCGAGAACCTTCCTGCAAACGCAGTCAACGGAGTGAGAGGATACAAGAAAGGGGTCCAGAATTCCTCGGCGTATCATGATTTCCTATACACACCGGTTGCATGTTGCTTTAACTGTTTATAAAGTTGCTTATTCAATCGCATGCCGCTGTAAGTGGTATGCAGAATACAGGTTACACGGCTCGGAAAGAAAGGCGAACACCACCCAACTGGTTTACCGGGTGAGGTATGTGGAAAATAAGGCCGAATAATAAACGGATAAAAGAAACAACGACGCTATGGGATCGAGTGAAGCGGTGGCATAATATCGTGGTCGAAGGTGGCCAAAAAATGGTCGAGATTTAGTGTATTTCCGAATTTTTTCCATCGCAATGCAGGAGTTCACTTTGTCTGCCATGATACCTTTCGCAAGAAGGTACCATTCGCTGAATTTATTCGCAGAATTTTCAAGTCGTTACCACGTACCATACGTGGTAAAGAGGTTAGGGTTGCGTGAGGTTTGGTGTAACAGGAGTCGAGTATCGACAGTCGATACGTGGTGGGGGTTGGGAAGTTTCGGGTACCGTTAGAGATCTTCGTTGGTATTCGAAAATATTCGTGGATACTCGTGGACGTCCGTGGGTTATCGCGAATACCAGTGGAGGATACTCTTGCTTCGACGAAAAGCGACAGTTCCGCGATCGATTTCTACTTATTTGAATAAACATGCACGCGTTCGTTTATGGCCACACGAAGTGAATTAGCGTGACATTCTTTCGCTCTCTAACTGTTACTTATCGAGTGAAACAGGCGGGTAGGTAGATAAGTGGCAGAGTAATATTGTCTAAGGATAGGAGGGAACATGTTCGTGAAATGAGCGAAAGATCGGGGATATAATAATATATGAAATTAACCTGGAAAGTAATAACAGTATCAGGGTAAGTGTAGGTCAGGATGTTAGATTTGTTATCAGCTTGGATTATAATGGTAATGTTTCTTGCCTATGGTAATCGTTATTTTAATAGGGGGCTCTCGATTGATTTTTCTACGGAAAAATTACTATACTTTAATCGTTCATCGTTTGAATACCTATCGATTACTTTGATCATTCTAAATATGGGAATTTTAATTCCTTAATCGGTCGATTTAATTTTAAATTTAATTTTTAAATAAAGTATATAATAGTTATTATTATTGAAATATTATTAATTCAACTTACGATATTAATCAACCTATAACAATGAAATTCGTCTCATGAGAAACTCGCGGAAAGGTCTTAACAGAACTCGAAGTTTGTTTATATTTCTCTCGATCACAATGAAAAATTTTGTTACGTAAATCGTAGATTACAGAACGTTACCATAGCTGGTACGTGTCTACGATATTTCATAATTTTACAACAGATTGATTGTATCGTTAATAATCCTGATGGACCAGACCAAGATTCAAATTTCGCGACGAATGGGATAAATAAACCATGTCTATCACGTATCAACATACAACCATGATTGAAAAATTCGTTCTGCTATTGGAAAATATTTCGGTCGATTCTCCTGGGGTAATTGAACTCTGGTGGAAACGGGCTAGTACTTTGGGCCGACAAAGTCCGTAATAAACAAGATTATAAATTGATAACCAAGATCCTTACTCATTATGTCACGCAGGTCTCTGTAAATGAGATTAAATGTGTTGAGCCCATAACAGTCTTTCCACAAGGTACTCACCGATGCCTCTGAATGACACTGGCATAAAGTTTAACATGGTAGGTGATCATGTCGCGTGTACCAGAGGCTTAAAAGTTGTAATAAATTAGCTTAAACGTGGGGAAATAATAATTAAAGTGTGACAAACGTCTCGCTGAAGTTTACTTAGCGACACAGGTGCTCTTGCTCGTGATAAACTTCCCAGACAAATTAACGACGAAGAAAAAATTACTAAATTGTTATTTTATGCTGATATAAAATTTCTTTAAATAATTTCATTCGATCCTTAATACATTAACGTGGATTTTGTTGCTTTATTTAACCTCGTGTGGACAAAAGTGTAAATACCACGGGAATTCAATCATAAAGATTACCAAGAGACACATAATATAAAAATTCCATGATTTATGTACTTTTCAATGTGTATAAATTAAACAACGAAGCGAGGAGACATCACTACCTCTAGTGACAAAATATAAGTATAGAAAGGGAACAAAAAGAACACCAATGAACTTACTGACTATAATAAATTGTAATATATTATTTCGTATATCTTCTTCTTTCATAAACATAAATAAGAAAATATTAAGTATAATGTTCTTTTTAATATACCTTGCAGCACGAATCTATAATTCTTCCAACCATAGACTTGTTTTTGATGACTGCACGATGCAACTGCCCGATCCTGCACTCTAGTAGGGAATGCCGGAAACAGAATATCAAACAAATGCATCGTCTCATTTCGTTGACGCGCATGCGCGGTAGCCCGGCGTCCAGATAACACTAGAAGCGAGTCTAACCGTCTAAAACGCTGGTGTATTTCCCAAACGAGTTTGAAGATTTAAAAAAATCCGAAGCACTGGAAATCTAGCACGATATCGCATGTAAAGATGCTTAATAAAACTGGTATGAAAAAGAGCAACCTAGAACGCGTTAATACGTAATGCTTATTTAAAAAAGCAAATAAGATTGGTCTCGGTCTCGTTAAATGGCATCTTCTCGCTATGCGTTAATTACGTTCGCAGACACGTGCGCCACTCTTCTTATTTACAACTTTTTCTTACTTTTATTCGTACTTTGGATCGATCCCCTTTGCTCTACGGGCAGGTCGTGTTGTCGCGACGGGCTGAACTCGACCTGCTCCTTTTTCATCCCGCTTCGAGATCAACGTCGCCGGGGTTGCCAACGGAACAGCTCTCGAGCAGCCACCTGTTCAAGTGCTAAAGGCTACAAAGTAAAGGTAAAGCCCTGGTCGAGGAAAATTCATCCTGTGCTTTTAGTTTGTTTTCGCGATTTCTTTAATGCAAGACGCGTTTATCTGCGGTATTATTTTTATCTGGTAAAATTCGACGTGTCATCTAATAATTCTTTTCATTCACAAGTTAAATTGACTTCGTAAGAAAAGAAATATACATTTGTAATAACGTAAAGTGAAGTAAAGAGAATTAAGGAAGCGTGCTTTTGTGAGATTTTGAAGTATTCAGGAGGTATATATATATATTATAAGATATTTTTTTATAGAAAATGTAATTCCTAATTTGCAATGTAAATGATGTTACTGACTAACTGTAGAACAAGTTGATTTATCATTTACATATGTAAAAATATTGTTCCAAATTATTCCAGTGGGATAACAACAAAATTTAAAGAATTTTTTACTTCTGTTACAATTTTGAACTGCATATTAATTCAGCACCTTTGAATCGTATTAACGAAAAGTAATCTCGTGCTTTTAAACCCCTACCTATCAGTACCTTGGATATTATATTATTATTTCTGGGACATAAACAAAACATTATTTTGACTGAAGAATCCTAATAACATTTAAAGAATTCAAATGATCTCCGAATATCGCGTCACATTAAAATGCCATAAATCGTTTGAAACGTAAATCTGGATTCGTGTCAGAGTCATGACTCACGTCGCAAAGTAACGACTCAACATCGATAATCGATGCAATCATCTTTATTAATGCTGTAACGTAATGGTAGCTACGCAAGCAAATGTGCCAGGTAGAAATGAAGATCAATCTCAAGTTGCCGTGTAGCCGAAAAAGAATCGTTCGTCTCCACGCAGTTTGGCCATCGATAAAACACGTTCGCCTTCCATTGGGACAGATCCATTCATTGCTGTCGACATAACGCGAGTTACCAAAGAATTACAGTCGTTCTGCTTCTTTGCGAAAGTAATTACACGGTCGCTTGGGTCGCTTACGGCTGATACATTCAAACGGGAGCAAAACAAAGAAAACAATCATTGCGTAACTCGCCTGATAAACATCCCTTCGTTGTCATTCATCCACTCCAGTACAAGAGAAGATTCACTGGTTTCCACCCTCGTCGTCGTATTGCTTCCCATTCAGGGTCCAAATCGCGTACTAGCGCATAACCTCCGCAAGATAACGATCAAGAGATACCGAATGATCTCTCAGGTGAGAGAGCAAACTATGGTACCGGTGAAATTTTGGCAGGTGTATCCGTTCGATCAGACACGCACGACTCGCTATCGCTTGTACCCGCGTATGGAGCACACAGAAAAGCGTGTATACATACACGGGAAAGCCGGTGAACGGTAAAGAACAGGTATTTAAATGAGAAACCGGATAGTCGATTCTACCTGGCTCGGTAGAGGACGCCACGTCCTCCTCGAGCAAGTGCTTACGTGCCAGACGACTTCCAAGACCCGTTCTCGTCCTTCCCTCCCCTCCATTCCCTTCCACTCTCGCGCCTCTTTCTCGCTTATTCATCGATACACACGCTCGCGAACTCGTCCTTTCACTCGCTCGATCGGCCGCAAAGGCGTTCGCTTGTTCACTCGCACGTTCCACCTGGCCGCTTATTTACCTACCCACACAGTCCAATATCCGTCTTTCACTCGCTCGCTCATTCACTCGTGTACCCGAGACCCCCTTTGCGTTCATTCTCTCCTTCAGACATTCGCGCCACTCGCTCCTTCAACGTCCTACTCCTTCTCGCCTGAGCCGCTGCTCCGCGTCGCACTGCGCATGTGTGCACGTGCGTGCGCACGCTCACTGTCTGGCCCAGGTGCCCCCCACTCCGCCGCGCAGAGCCAGTCGACGTTCCCACTCCGTGTCCCGCTGTGCCCCGTCGCGAGGCCCGACTCGCTCTCCCACCTAGCCAACGAAACTGCATGAGTAAGTGTCAGAGGCACTCAGTACAGTTACTGACGGCCCGTACCGTGAACGATTGCCGTCGTCGACCGTTGTCACCGTGTCGTCGTGTCGTTGTCGAATAGAGTCAGCTTTACCATGCGCTGCTCCTGATAAACGTATGCGGTTAGTAAGTGGTGGAACGCTCGTTTCTCGCACTCTCTCTTTCTTTTTCTTTGCTCCTCTCCGCTGCTCCTTCCGCGCTTTCGTTCCACGGTCTTTTCTCTCCCTGACTTGGTCGTTCGTTCCATTTCCCCCCAGGGGACAGATTCTCCTCGGCTCATCGTCGCGGATGCTCGCGACCGTTTCGTATTCCACACGAATGAGCCCTCCTTGAGGAGCGTCCCTCGAGTGCCGTCTCCTGCAGCCACCGACGTGATAACGATCCTCGACGAGATGCAGTGTCGTCGATTGTCGCGGCGATCTATTGGCTAACGACAAAGAAACATCGCTCTGTTTGCTCTCTCTCTCCATCCTTGTGCATCGATTCTCAGTAAGGACGTAGTGCTTGGAACTTGACTTGGAAGTGGGACAAGATTCCACCGCTGACTTTTGGATAGGCAAGCCTGACACTTCTCGCCGATCTCGTGCACAGTGCCACCGCAGTCTGCAATATGTCGCGCCATATGTTGCATTTCTCGACGTGAAATTACGTTCAGTGATTCGGAACGTGACTGCTTGTCATTGCTAAAGCTTCTTCGCGGTCACGTAATAAATTCGGCTGCGATATTTATCGATCCCAATTAGCCGTCTGTATAGACGCACCGTTGCGCGACTACAGAGACACCTCGGCTGAATATTCGTCCCGTCACACGATCGTCGATCAACGAGGAGGTCGCGACCTTAACGCCAAGTTTCTATAAACAGAGAAAGGAGGAGGAACGAGTGGACGAAAAGAGGAGAAAGCAGGGGCCGGTTCAGTCGATGACCAGGTGTAGCTCATCGACGAAGTGACAGTGCCCTCGAATGTGTATATGGACGAGATAGTCACGATGACCGTTCCACCGACACTGCCGGCGAAGACTCAGTCCCGGGACGGGAGTCAGGTTGCCCGACAGACTGTGTCAATCCGGACTGTTTCCAGTCCCCCCACAGCTCCTCTGAGCACAGGGGCCGGAGCAACGGTATTTGTCGGACTGGCCGCTCCTGGCGCCGATTCCTCGGCAGCCTGTAGGAGAAGAATCCCGGAAGTGCAAGCCGCGAACGGCTACGGTAAGCAGAGCAGCGTGAAGTCTGGCCAGACCACGCAGAACCAGCACCAACAGCAGTACGTACAACAGCAACATCAGCAGCAGGCGGCTCATGTGGTGAAGATCAAGATCAACCCGGATGGTGACAAGAACGGCAGAGTGATATCGACTGTACGATTGACGCTGGACGAGAACGTTGGCCACGAAGTCGAGAAGGAGAACGGGATCGCGTGCGAACGTTCGAGCAAGCGTGACGGTGGTGTGGTCGTGAGTGCGACGAATCTGGTGAACGAGCAGCGTTGTGGAAGTGCTGGTGCCGGTGACGGCTGTGTGAGGATCAGTGTTGGCTCGAACGCCTTCGAACGCAACAATAATAACAACAATAAGGACAAGCGTAATCGGAACGACGACAGCCCGAAGGAAGACATGGTTCACCGTGAAACGTCAGAGCCTATGAACACATCCTCCTCGAACAACCGTTCGAGTGCCTGCTTCTATTACAACTCATACCCTAACCAGCTGAACGGGATGGTGATATCCAGTGGGCAATGTTCGCCCAGCGACACCCTGGACAGCGGGACCTGCAGCGATCTGGACGGTACACCGCCACCACTTCCTAAAAAGAAGAACGCCAGTACGGTTATCCTGGCTAGCGATCAGCACAACCGTACAGGTAGCTTGACCAGCAGTGGCGCGGAGGTGGACAGCGACGATAATGAGAGCAACATCAGCTGCGACTCTCTGAACGGTGGAGAGCTGAGTGACAGAATAGTGGACGGAGGTATAAATGGGAACGGTGTCGAGGCTGATCGAGCGTCCTTGGAATTTCAAGAACACTCGGAGAGTCATCGACTGAAGAATGGGCTAGATCGTTCAAAGTATCGGGAGGCAAACGATACTATCTTGAACCTAAACCGACTGGACCTGTCTGACGACCACGACGAACGAACGAAGGAGGAATCCACTCAAGTTGTCTCGACTCCGGATGTCGACTCAAATTCTTGTTCGTCCAGGGCCTCTCCTAGCGTCTCTCCCTCGCCGTCCGGGGCATCTTCATTGTCAAAAGCCTCTTCGACCCCGAGAATCAGGAGTCCAGACCCGGTAACCGAGCAGAATATCAGGCTATCCTCCCCGGTAGTGAAGGAATGCACTTACGAGGAGAGGAAACAGGAACAGGAGAGGCTAGAGCAAGAGTCTATTGCCGGTGATATCGATACCAGCGTGAATCCCCTGACGGGAAAGAAGTATGTGTACGAGTATGACAGGTTCTACAAGTTTCACGTGAACGAACTGAAGGGTAACAATAAAGACACTAACAGAGGTGTGGTGTTAGGCGATAAGGACACCGACGAATGTTTCGCCGGTTACAAGATCCTCGAGAAGGAAGCCATACGCAGTGCCAAGGGAACTGTGCGCGGTGTCAAAAACAGGGTTCGAGCTGGGATCGCAACGTTCCTTCAGAAACCCTCTTCTCAGGTTAGTATAGCATGTTCTCTGTTACGCGTTTAACTCGTGCACAGTCTACTGCCCTGTGCTCGATGGAATTTCTGTTGCGTGCCAATTAACGGGCGAACCTGATCAGTTAAATGAATGCTAAATAGATACACAGGGAAGCGAATAAAAACTTTAAATTAGCCGATGTTTATCGACGCCACGCGGCGATGTTTGCGGAACGTTATTCTCGTAGGAAGTGCTAGGCTCGAGGCGAGAAAAAAGAAAACGTTTTTCCACGCTGAACAGATCTAGATGCGTACTGACGAAGTTCAGAAGGCACTAAGGAAGGCTTAGTCGAACTTGGTCGAGAAGGAGCTCGTTAAACTTTGCGATCCTTTCTGCGACAGAGGGTGGTGAAAGGCGTGCTCAAAGGTCAGAAGGACAGGATGTCGAAAAATTCACGAATCGTCGGTCTAGATTTCACCGAATACCGGTAAACACCGTCTCCCACTTTCGCGCATGATTGAATTGCAGTTTCGTGATGTCCTGTCACGAATACGTTCGCGTGCAAAAGTCACGTCAGAGACATCGAATTGAAACGTGGGACATTGTCGTCTCCCCTCGATTCGCTTTAAATATCGGTTCCATGTAGCCTGGCCCGACTGCCTAGGGCAAAGCCTCGTAAACGACGCGTCGATTTGTTATGCAAATCAGTCGCTGACACCACTATCGCCTGACGAGCGTTTCAACACGGTCCAATCGAACGGTATCGAATGGCAAGTTCGAGCCTCTGTCATCCATCTATTCACGCCTTTCGATACACTTGACTCGCGTCGACGACCACCACTGGCCAGAACTTGGCGAGAGAAAAGCGTTAGATTTACAGTTAGATCACCTCTCTCGTTGACCAGTTTCGATCGACCAGTTGACTGGCATCGATCGATGACGTAGACTCGGCGTCCCATGTGGTCCTACTGCAAGGTTTCCGGTGTTGCCATGCGAGAGCGGTGTGCATAGAACGTCTGCGGAGAATCGCACTCCGTCGATGCAGAACGGATCGACATAACGGTAGATCCGATAAAGCGATATTACGGCAACGTGCAGGGTAGCACGCTCGTTGTCCCTAGTCACAAACCGGTCTTCCTCCACCGTTTGCCTCCATCTTTTTCTTCGTCTTCGACAACATCTATTGCCTTCGTGTCCCCCGTTTGTACGGATTCTTTCCAACTCGCGTGCACGTGCCCTGGTGTCCATAGATGTGTGCATGGGTTGCGCGCCCTTTCCTCTGTGTCGCATGATCTATTTCGCGAAATTATGGACCGAGTCAGCGGCTGGGCTGCGCGCGCATCTTCTTGCAACAGGCCGCTGAGCAATCACGAATTCACTTCGACTTGGTCCCGCGGGATTTCGCGTATTGGCTCGATCGAGCAAGGTTAACTCGTTCGTGACCATCCCAGTCGCAGAACAATCTGTTATCGAGGGTTCTTATGCCGGCGGGGTAAAAACCAGCCAGTTCATTGTGGGTTATATATATGGGGATTACCTATTCATGTGACATGGTGTGTTTGAATTGGTCCTTTCTTCGTACTTGAACCCGAAGCATCCGTAAATTGTTATTTGCTATTCTGGTGCATTGATTTCCTCACGCTTGCAACGGCCACCTTTCACACCTTCACCACTAAATGGAATCGATGAGGTTAAAGGTATGTCATAAGGGGCTGCTAGATACCCCTACTGACGAGTCCACTACCAGACCCAGGACAATATGTACCCTTTCTTTCTCTTTAATCCTATCTAGTCACTACCTGATGGAAGAGATGTTATACTAACACCGGGGATATAGCAAGTAGACGTCGAATTTAGGATTTTAACATTATGTTGGTTAGGATTTATCTTTCTTCTCGTTTGTTGTTATGCATGGACCTGTGCTATCCGTATAAATATTACGTGTGAGATATTTTACGGAATCGTTTCGTGATCGTTGGGTATCATCGAGATGCGAACAATCGAACGTAAACTTGGTAGAGAATGTTCGATGCCAGACTCGATGTTCAAGTTTCTGCTACAACAGTCTATTTACAACTACATATACGCTGAGGTAGGACCAAGTTTTAATTCTCTTTGAATACCTTACAATATTCCATAGAAATCAACTAGTCAGAGAAACAATTTGGGATACGATTAATAGCAACGAGCACGTCAATTCTATTGATTGTTCCAATTTATTACAATTTTATACAAGCAATAATTATTAACACTGGGAATTACTCTGTCATGCTACTTTCTCCAGTTAACTCATTGTCCTTTTCCGAGAATCATTAGAAACCGCAAGAGACACGTAACTGCGTATAGTTGCTGCTCTCTTAACAGTCTCAGAACTATGCCACTCGTCTTACGCAATAAGGACTAATAACGATAATGATCCAAGGTTACAGATATGTCAGTAAATAGTAATTCAAAGCAACGCTATTTAGAAACCAGCTAGAAATCCTGAGAAGGCTGTTTTATTTAATCGGATACTGTATGTCTAGTAGTGCTATAGAGTCTGCCTCTAGTGAAAGTAACTTCATGTTGCAGATAGATTAAAACAAAGACTCGAAGCATCATTTAACGTCTTTTATTCATGAGGCGTATTTCGATATGAAAATTCTAAAGATGATACCCACACTTTACACTACATTTATACCTATCACTGCACCCGTAGTTATTGATTACTTCCTCCACTAAATTGGCCCGTAATATGTCGAAATCGCGACGAGACTTCTTTCATGAAATATTCAGCAAGTGACAATTGAGGGATTAAAATCGAGACTTTCCAATAGTCGATCTTTTATAGCGATTGAACATTGACAACGTTGCATATTGCTTTGATTCTGTGAGCACAATCGCGATAAAATATCCAATCCTTCTTAACACGCGAAGCATAATTGAAACAGTTGAAAATCTTTCCCAAAATTGGACTTAGTTATCAATTTTCAAAATTTTTTATAGCATTCCATTCGGGACACAAAAGCAAAAAGTAAAAATATATTTCAAATATAATAGATAGTTCAGTGTCAACCAGATATTCCATCAAAAAATATTCTTAAAAAATTTTGGCGTATGTTCAGTTTACATATAGTTACATCTGATGTGCTCCGTGAGTTATACATGTACAATCGGATTTTGGGTGGATTGACTTAAGATAATATTGTTGGCTTCTTAATAGAATAAAATAAGTTTATAAATAAATGACGGCGTCTGGCTATGAAAGAAGAGAGATTCGCTATGTACACGCTCTTCTGATTCTTCTTAAATTGACTTTCACAAACCGACTTTAGACTTTGACACAATGTCTTTGACTGAAAACTCTTAGACTTTGGACATTCTTCAACTAACCGATGGACTGTCTTAGACTGAACTGTTAGACTGATTTGGACTTCTTACACACTCTGACTCGCCTGTGCCCGTGCACCCTTATTTAAATCATTCATTCTGTCCTTTTCTCACACTCAGGCTTTCCTTCCCAATCACGCGTCTTTCCCCGCAGCCGCGGTCGATTATGTACTTCAAACGCATGCCGCACTCATAAACTAACTTCCTATCGCACTCGGCTCTATCATACACATCCATTCGATCCCCTTACGCGCGGTCACCTTTGTTCTAAGTTCAAACACTTCCGACACTCATCGACTGAAGAATGGGCTAGATCGTTCAAAGTATCGGGAGGCAAACGATACTATCTTGAACCTAAACCGACTGGACCTGTCTGACGACCACGACGAACGAACGAAGGAGGAATCCACTCAAGTTGTCTCGACTCCGGATGTCGACTCAAATTCTTGTTCGTCCAGGGCCTCTCCTAGCGTCTCTCCCTCGCCGTCCGGGGCATCTTCATTGTCAAAAGCCTCTTCGACCCCGAGAATCAGGAGTCCAGACCCGGTAACCGAGCAGAATATCAGGCTATCCTCCCCGGTAGTGAAGGAATGCACTTACGAGGAGAGGAAACAGGAACAGGAGAGGCTAGAGCAAGAGTCTATTGCCGGTGATATCGATACCAGCGTGAATCCCCTGACGGGAAAGAAGTATGTGTACGAGTATGACAGGTTCTACAAGTTTCACGTGAACGAACTGAAGGGTAACAATAAAGACACTAACAGAGGTGTGGTGTTAGGCGATAAGGACACCGACGAATGTTTCGCCGGTTACAAGATCCTCGAGAAGGAAGCCATACGCAGTGCCAAGGGAACTGTGCGCGGTGTCAAAAACAGGGTTCGAGCTGGGATCGCAACGTTCCTTCAGAAACCCTCTTCTCAGGTTAGTATAGCATGTTCTCTGTTACGCGTTTAACTCGTGCACAGTCTACTGCCCTGTGCTCGATGGAATTTCTGTTGCGTGCCAATTAACGGGCGAACCTGATCAGTTAAATGAATGCTAAATAGATACACAGGGAAGCGAATAAAAACTTTAAATTAGCCGATGTTTATCGACGCCACGCGGCGATGTTTGCGGAACGTTATTCTCGTAGGAAGTGCTAGGCTCGAGGCGAGAAAAAAGAAAACGTTTTTCCACGCTGAACAGATCTAGATGCGTACTGACGAAGTTCAGAAGGCACTAAGGAAGGCTTAGTCGAACTTGGTCGAGAAGGAGCTCGTTAAACTTTGCGATCCTTTCTGCGACAGAGGGTGGTGAAAGGCGTGCTCAAAGGTCAGAAGGACAGGATGTCGAAAAATTCACGAATCGTCGGTCTAGATTTCACCGAATACCGGTAAACACCGTCTCCCACTTTCGCGCATGATTGAATTGCAGTTTCGTGATGTCCTGTCACGAATACGTTCGCGTGCAAAAGTCACGTCAGAGACATCGAATTGAAACGTGGGACATTGTCGTCTCCCCTCGATTCGCTTTAAATATCGGTTCCATGTAGCCTGGCCCGACTGCCTAGGGCAAAGCCTCGTAAACGACGCGTCGATTTGTTATGCAAATCAGTCGCTGACACCACTATCGCCTGACGAGCGTTTCAACACGGTCCAATCGAACGGTATCGAATGGCAAGTTCGAGCCTCTGTCATCCATCTATTCACGCCTTTCGATACACTTGACTCGCGTCGACGACCACCACTGGCCAGAACTTGGCGAGAGAAAAGCGTTAGATTTACAGTTAGATCACCTCTCTCGTTGACCAGTTTCGATCGACCAGTTGACTGGCATCGATCGATGACGTAGACTCGGCGTCCCATGTGGTCCTACTGCAAGGTTTCCGGTGTTGCCATGCGAGAGCGGTGTGCATAGAACGTCTGCGGAGAATCGCACTCCGTCGATGCAGAACGGATCGACATAACGGTAGATCCGATAAAGCGATATTACGGCAACGTGCAGGGTAGCACGCTCGTTGTCCCTAGTCACAAACCGGTCTTCCTCCACCGTTTGCCTCCATCTTTTTCTTCGTCTTCGACAACATCTATTGCCTTCGTGTCCCCCGTTTGTACGGATTCTTTCCAACTCGCGTGCACGTGCCCTGGTGTCCATAGATGTGTGCATGGGTTGCGCGCCCTTTCCTCTGTGTCGCATGATCTATTTCGCGAAATTATGGACCGAGTCAGCGGCTGGGCTGCGCGCGCATCTTCTTGCAACAGGCCGCTGAGCAATCACGAATTCACTTCGACTTGGTCCCGCGGGATTTCGCGTATTGGCTCGATCGAGCAAGGTTAACTCGTTCGTGACCATCCCAGTCGCAGAACAATCTGTTATCGAGGGTTCTTATGCCGGCGGGGTAAAAACCAGCCAGTTCATTGTGGGTTATATATATGGGGATTACCTATTCATGTGACATGGTGTGTTTGAATTGGTCCTTTCTTCGTACTTGAACCCGAAGCATCCGTAAATTGTTATTTGCTATTCTGGTGCATTGATTTCCTCACGCTTGCAACGGCCACCTTTCACACCTTCACCACTAAATGGAATCGATGAGGTTAAAGGTATGTCATAAGGGGCTGCTAGATACCCCTACTGACGAGTCCACTACCAGACCCAGGACAATATGTACCCTTTCTTTCTCTTTAATCCTATCTAGTCACTACCTGATGGAAGAGATGTTATACTAACACCGGGGATATAGCAAGTAGACGTCGAATTTAGGATTTTAACATTATGTTGGTTAGGATTTATCTTTCTTCTCGTTTGTTGTTATGCATGGACCTGTGCTATCCGTATAAATATTACGTGTGAGATATTTTACGGAATCGTTTCGTGATCGTTGGGTATCATCGAGATGCGAACAATCGAACGTAAACTTGGTAGAGAATGTTCGATGCCAGACTCGATGTTCAAGTTTCTGCTACAACAGTCTATTTACAACTACATATACGCTGAGGTAGGACCAAGTTTTAATTCTCTTTGAATACCTTACAATATTCCATAGAAATCAACTAGTCAGAGAAACAATTTGGGATACGATTAATAGCAACGAGCACGTCAATTCTATTGATTGTTCCAATTTATTACAATTTTATACAAGCAATAATTATTAACACTGGGAATTACTCTGTCATGCTACTTTCTCCAGTTAACTCATTGTCCTTTTCCGAGAATCATTAGAAACCGCAAGAGACACGTAACTGCGTATAGTTGCTGCTCTCTTAACAGTCTCAGAACTATGCCACTCGTCTTACGCAATAAGGACTAATAACGATAATGATCCAAGGTTACAGATATGTCAGTAAATAGTAATTCAAAGCAACGCTATTTAGAAACCAGCTAGAAATCCTGAGAAGGCTGTTTTATTTAATCGGATACTGTATGTCTAGTAGTGCTATAGAGTCTGCCTCTAGTGAAAGTAACTTCATGTTGCAGATAGATTAAAACAAAGACTCGAAGCATCATTTAACGTCTTTTATTCATGAGGCGTATTTCGATATGAAAATTCTAAAGATGATACCCACACTTTACACTACATTTATACCTATCACTGCACCCGTAGTTATTGATTACTTCCTCCACTAAATTGGCCCGTAATATGTCGAAATCGCGACGAGACTTCTTTCATGAAATATTCAGCAAGTGACAATTGAGGGATTAAAATCGAGACTTTCCAATAGTCGATCTTTTATAGCGATTGAACATTGACAACGTTGCATATTGCTTTGATTCTGTGAGCACAATCGCGATAAAATATCCAATCCTTCTTAACACGCGAAGCATAATTGAAACAGTTGAAAATCTTTCCCAAAATTGGACTTAGTTATCAATTTTCAAAATTTTTTATAGCATTCCATTCGGGACACAAAAGCAAAAAGTAAAAATATATTTCAAATATAATAGATAGTTCAGTGTCAACCAGATATTCCATCAAAAAATATTCTTAAAAAATTTTGGCGTATGTTCAGTTTACATATAGTTACATCTGATGTGCTCCGTGAGTTATACATGTACAATCGGATTTTGGGTGGATTGACTTAAGATAATATTGTTGGCTTCTTAATAGAATAAAATAAGTTTATAAATAAATGACGGCGTCTGGCTATGAAAGAAGAGAGATTCGCTATGTACACGCTCTTCTGATTCTTCTTAAATTGACTTTCACAAACCGACTTTAGACTTTGACACAATGTCTTTGACTGAAAACTCTTAGACTTTGGACATTCTTCAACTAACCGATGGACTGTCTTAGACTGAACTGTTAGACTGATTTGGACTTCTTACACACTCTGACTCGCCTGTGCCCGTGCACCCTTATTTAAATCATTCATTCTGTCCTTTTCTCACACTCAGGCTTTCCTTCCCAATCACGCGTCTTTCCCCGCAGCCGCGGTCGATTATGTACTTCAAACGCATGCCGCACTCATAAACTAACTTCCTATCGCACTCGGCTCTATCATACACATCCATTCGATCCCCTTACGCGCGGTCACCTTTGTTCTAAGTTCAAACACTTCCGACACTCATCCTACATGATTAATACACTAAGCAACGTGTAATAGGATCAACTCCTAGAATCCATCATGAGGATACGACACGAATTTTCTTTGTTGCCACAATGTATGAAACTTACTGTAGATGCTTCTGAGGCTAAGAGAACAGCGGCGACATCAACAGTGTCATTCGATTCCAATTGAATTCATCACTAAATGTAATAATTTCTGACGTTGCTGTACTCGACCCAACTACAGTAGCTTTTAATTTAATGTTCATACTCTGAGTCTGTGTTTTGTCCATATCTGGTCAAATATTTAATAACAACAACAAATTACTATCGACAGCAATTCTTCAACCCAGTCCCAGAAATTATTGGGGATAGCAACAACCGTAATGTCAGCAGAAATCCAGACGCTGATGCAAGCAGTACTGTGTAAACGTTTTGGTTCTCGAAGATTATGCTGACATGATAAAATAAGTTATATTTCCAGTCTTTTTGTTTCACGCCAGATAGTTAACGCTATGATATTCAATAGTTGACACTGATAAGGAATTATTAAAAAGAAAATTGAAATAGAATTTGAAATGTATGGGATCAAGGTATCCCACTGATCTCCTATGTTATTTGATCTTATATAGTTCAATTTGCAAATATGACAGTAACAATGAAAATTTGTATATTCTATGCCTACAACGAAGGCCTTGATGTACCATGACCAATCATATCTGCTATATCTACTATACGAAAAACATAACACAGTACTAGAAGAAATATATTATTACTATAAAATATGGCATAGTATTTTTGACACGAAAAATACCAACGTGCAACATATCATTATAGAATGTTCCACCGCTGCAACTGTGTTTACTGAATTTAATTATCCGTCAAAGTTGAAGTATTCCCGGGTATCATGGAAGCGGCTAAACCTTTGATGCAAGAGAGAAGGCTCCGCACAATATTCGCCAGTAAAACAGCGTAATGGCCGCGTTTCGCAACGCCGTTTCTTGGGGCCACCTCGCAACATGTACATTTACGGGTGTCATTTACTTAGCGACAATTTCCCTTGGTTTCTTAACGCATTTCGTTAGACTGGGAAAAAAAGGAAGGGAACGCCGAGTTACGGTCAATGTTCTGACACAACGACCGTCAGGAGACGGGAGCCCTGAGCTACACTGAGATTAGAGGGAGCATTTGTTGGGAGGCAATCTGCGACCGCTCTGTCGTAACTGTACTGTTTTTCTTGCTATAGAAAAATGAGATCGTGGAATATGCAATTCGTTTCATCAGCTGGCATAGCTGGAAAGGTGTCACAGTTAACATTGGAAACGAGCCATTCTTTTCATTCGCTCCAAATGGATGATACGTGGACTGTGCATTAATTACGCAGATGATCGCTGAT